TCAATTTCACCATTTAAGTACATACAGCGCAATTATTTACTTGTGCCAGAGAGACAATTTTGCCCAGTAGTGAATGAAAGACAGGCTATTTGTGTTGTCAATGGCGGTAAAATAGCTCACATATGGCACAATTTTCTTGCAACAGACGCGCATCTCTCCGAGAGTAACGTGTGTTTCTCGCAACTCATATCCGTTCACTTCTAGAATTGATGAGATGAAAATATCTGTAGATACATTTTTAATGAGAATTGAAGTGTATTTTTAAAAATTGCTCAACTCGTAAATCGAGAATTTTCTCACAAAATTGAAATTAAAAATTCACCACGACCACCAACTATGCATCAAATCATACACCACTGCATTGGATATAATTCAAACTAGAGAGGGAGGTTTTGTGTGGTTTGAATTTTTGTATAGTTGGAGAAAATGGCAAAAAAGGCCATTCAAAAATAATTAATCATATAAAATTCGGCATGCAATGCAAATATTGACACGCGGGTTCGCTTTTAATATTCCCACTTTGGACTGACTATGGGTTGTTGGTTTTAATTACCTTATGGGTGTTTGCTAGCCGTATTTTTTCATAGGATTTAACTTCATTCATAATACAGGGGTTTCGATTTTGCCTCAAGAACGTACACCATCTATTGTTGCTCACTGCAAATTACAATCAAGTCGAAAATTAAGGCAAACACAGACCCTTGCTCCCTGTTTGCAAATCAATTCTGTGCAAATTGGTGAATAAACATCTCTTCAGAAAAAATTACACTGGATGAATCTCGCTGTTGACGCCATGGCAAGCGAGGAAATTTGTATGACTTGACGACAGAATTAAGAGGCAGCAGTAACATGGGTGTCTTCATCGTTTGCAACTGAGAAAGTTAACATTTTACTGCTACCCCTTCTCGTAAGCAGAAAATTCCCCGAATAATCCTTTGAAATCCCTTGTAAAATCTTAATGGCTTTCACCCAAAAAAAAATTCAGACACCCATAACTTACTTTCGTCTATCGGGCGAATTTGACCCTCATCTAATAGAGTTCCCATAATTGTGTTATTTTTAGGCACAGCAACAAAAAAGACACTCTGAACTACAGATTCATCCAGTCAGACGAAGTTACAGAGTAAATTGCAATTTACCGCTCTAGTTGTTCCAATTAAAAAATTACCATAAAACAATAATCTATTTCGTATTAGAGGACCCTCCTCCGTGAAATTCACACAGTGACTCTGTGTCGGCATAAATTGTGTATCACCACCCTCGGAAGCCGCCACCCCAGTGATATGTGGCAATTTTCAAATGCCAATTTATCGATATTTCCACGCCTGAGTGAGAGGGAGAGCGAAGGAATCATGTGCATGAGTTTCGTGGCCATAAAAATGCAATGCACAGCGCAGTTCAAAAATTAAGCGACTCGAATTATATGGCATTTTAATCATTATTGGCAGTAATTGAAATTGCTCTTCGTTTCATAACCGTATATAAAGACAGATTGAGCATCTTTTAAAAGATCTGTGTAAGTGACGATTAAAAGAAATATCTCTTAAAAACATACAAAGCATATTTTTCAATGATACATACATGGAGTTTTATTCGTAAACAGTTTATTTTATCTACTAATAGCACGAAATAATTGCATTAGAAACATGCAATAGAATAAATTAAAATTGAAACCAATTTCAACAGCAAATCAAGCTTTATTTAGATTTATAATTACAACTAATTTCGGATATGATCCCACTATTATCCAATTAGACCATTACAGTCTGTTATCGCCCCAATGAGGTCTCAATAAATCAGATGCTTAAGTCAAGTTCGAAAAATCAATGGGATAACTTATAGGCTTCAGATAATTAAGCTGATAAATCAACAATGCTGCACTAACAACCTCGTTAGAGGTGAACAATTCATCCTTATCGCCATTCCACATCGCGTCCGTGCATATTGGAGTAGATTGATCGATAAATTGGCCAATTGAGTGGCTGAATTGGCAGTCTCAATCGGATAATCTCTTGGGCTTGAGACGCCATCGGTGTGAATTACACCCAAGATATTGGCGAACGGTGGCTCTCCCGCAGGGGTTGATGGAAAATGGGTGGTTCTCATTTTTTAATTTGTCACCCGATCGCACAATAAGTCACTCCGTGTCAGTAAAATTCGTGATTGACGTTTCACGGAGAAATTATTTTGATTTATTAACCATAATTACACTCAACGTGTCGATGGATGGATTATTACCAAGTAAACTGCACAAAGTGCTCAATAAATTTTATCACACCCTTCGGCAATCAACGTGCAAATTGAGGAAATGTGAGTGGAGGAAATTATGTAAATATATCCAGTTTCTGACTTTATTATTAATTTGATTGGTGTGGTTTCCTTCTCATTATCACAAATTGTGATCATTTAAGGCTGCACGATAAAACATCCCCTATAATGTTCCTTTCTCTGTGCAATCAACCCTGTTCATATGTTCAAATCTCAAATTCACCCTTAGGTCGTTATTCCCGTTAATATACAAGCCTGGCCGCGCAGCTACAGATTCTGCGCTGCTCGCTTGGAATGGGAGAAAATATGAAATGAGGGACAGTCAATTTATTTTTGTTGAATGCAATTAAAAGATGAAATGACACTTTAATAAGTGGTGAAAAGAAAATGTTTTACTCTCGGCCACATGTTGTCTCACAACTCCAAATTGGCTTCAGCTTTCACCCCTCCTCAGTCACCTCGCCAGACATCCGTTTCCACATTAAGTTTGTGAAAGATGTGAATATTACCTATTTGTGAAGAACAAATTTGTCTCACTCTCGTATTGCTGTACAAATTAATTATTTCTGTCTTTTAGCTCTCATTTCAAATTGTATTTAAGTGTTCGGAACTTTCAGCAACGAAAACAAGAGTGTGTGAAGCACAAAAATGTTGACTTCTTTAGCTGGTGCTCAAGCATAACTTTGTGGCTCATATTTAACGATATAATTATCAGTTTTAAATAGAGATATTAGCCAATTCGCAGCCACGAGAATTCACACAATTCAAGCCGGACGCGTGGGTGTATGAAAGAGAAATCGATAAATTATTTAAAAGTTGCCACAGAATTGTATTTTTGGCTCATCACTTTTCATGGCTCATTTCCGAGGATTTATGACCACGCCGGAGGGGTTTTTCTGAAAGGAGCCGCCACAGAGCCTTTCCGAGCTCTTGTGGTACATTTTCACGCCTCTATAATTAATGCACAACATATTTGACATAGCTGGGCATTATTGTCTCCTAAGGGTGCCTCTCATCTGAAAATCAAATAATCATCATGTAGAACTAATTTCAGGGCGTTGTTAATTACCTTCCGCATCTCTCTTTCACTTTCGCTGGCTTTCATGGGGCAATTTTCAACACTTTGAAATCCATTAATGATTCTTTTAACATATCATATTGCGCATATTCTTTCTGGTCTTTGTTTTGTAATTAAATACGGAAAATCTACCACCGGATATACCATGATAAAGCCATAAAATTCTTTCAAGTGTGCAATATTCCCAAGATTCAACATTGAAGACTGCTTTGAATCCCTGTCGCTCCCTTATTTTCTGGGAGTGTTCACCCCAAACACAAATAAATAATACTTTCGGAATTAGAAACACCCTGGCAGTGGATCGAACGTTAATATTTAATTGGTCCCAAAAGCACTGCGCCGACGATTTTGCACTTTTGCGATGGAGTACATTTCAAATGAACTTAATTAGGTGTGGTTTCTAAGGGTTGGGAGCACAGGTATTTCCTATTCTATGAGCAAAGAGGCCCCTAATGGATGCTCTGTGGAGTTGTACAGATTAATAACTCCAGAGACCTCCTCAGTCACATGAAATAAATCTCAGACAGTGTATTCTTGTATTTCAAACCACATCTCCCCGGGTTTGTCTCGAAGGTGCTCTAGTGGCCACGAATAAGTAATGAAAGTGGTTTAGATTTCGCCTTATTTACTCCTCAAATGGTGAACTCAAGGGAAAATGAGACAGAGTGGAGGAAATTACGATTTCCAGAGAATACCTAATTAGTCGTGACTCTGTCTATTCATCAGGCATTCAACTTCAGAGCTGTGGAATGGACTTAACTAGGGTGTCAGCTTTTATAAGAAGGACTAAATGTTTTTATTTGATATGTAGAATGCATACTCATTGGCTTTCAGAGATCCTTTTCAACCAAAGTCTTCCAGAAAATTTTGAGGTTCCTAATTATACAATTTGTTTATTTACAATTCAACCTAAAATGAACTAATCTACATTATTATATTGAGTTTAATACATTACTCTTCCCAACTTATTTAATCAAAATATAAATTATTAACATGAGTTTCACGCCAGGTGATAAGTGAAAAAGAATTCTGGAAGGAATTATCCTAACGATTGAGCAACATAATCAGATGTATATCCTGACGGAATCCAAATGCTAAGTGGTAAAGTGGCTTATAAAATTCCATTAAAAGTATCTCTCACCCTTATTAGTGGGTATAAACTCTGAACTAATTCCTTCTTGTCGGAGAGGACATGCATTTTTCATCCCTCCAAAGTATGAGCATCCCATTTTCTCTGAGTTTCGCAGGGTGTTAGATTATTCTCCGACTACTTACGTGCTGATTCCTTATTTTAAGGCATCACATGACGCTTTCCCAAACTTCACTCATGGTTTTAAATGTTTCCCAACTCCATCTCTCCGGAGGATGGTGAGTCGATTTAGTGAAGCGAGGGACATAAATTTTAAATAGTGTGTGTTTTTCAAATGCGATTCTCAATTTATAATTCGATTCTACACGACTTTAAATTTCAACGAGACAGAAAAAAGCTGAATTTCCAGGGGCGAGGGTGACACTTTTCCAATGGCATTAAATGCAAATTGCTTTGGGCCACCGAAATGGACATGAGAGGAAAACTTCTAATTGCTTCTGTTGAGGAATTTTTTCGTGTTTGGGTCTTTAGAAGGGTCGCTTTGGGGCAAATTAAATGCATTACTCTGTTAATATTTTATTTATATTTTCATTGCTATTTACACAATTTTTTGTATTAAACTGATCTGTCTATTTACAACTGTAGTATTAAACAATATCGTTTTGTACAGAATATCCACATGTTATGCCTCCTTAGAGATGGTTGTATTGCGTCCGCTAATGCAAATAATGGCTTACATGTAAAATATTTTCACTTTAGAGACAATTAAGTTTAGCACTAATCAGTTAAAAATCATCAATAACCACTAAATTAAAAAGATGCCAAACAAGTATTGCAATTAAAGGGCGTAAATTGATCTTCCATAGGTTTTTACTTAATGTAAAACTAAATACTCCCATCGGATTAAGCACAATTTGGCATTTCAATGGCTCCTAGTTGTGAGAGTGGCTCAGATGGTGGCCACCCAGTGGATGGAAATACGGTCCATAGGGCGGATATGGCACTGCGTGTGGATAGAGCAGGCTTCCGGTGTAGGAGCCCGGTCCGAAGGAGCCACCTGAGTTTGGCGGAGGGATAGTTGGACTATTCACGTCCATTCCAGGATTTTGCTTTTTCCACTTTGTCCGTCGGTTTTGGAACCATATTTTCACCTGGTTGGAGATATAAAAGGAAAATAGAAGAATTTCCTGGAAATCTGTTTTCTGTGAGTCTCGAGATGGTTGAAAATTTCTCTGAAAAATATCATTTCCGAAATATTGTCCCTCAACTTACTTGTGTTTCCGTGAGGCTGAGACTTAGAGCTAAATTGAGTCTTTCACAAACAGACAAATATCTCGTAGTCTTAAATTTGTTTTCTAGCGAAACGAGCTGCTCGTACGTGAAGGCCGTCCGTGCCCTAAATAAAAGTGAGATAAATGGGCGTTAGTCGTGCAAAAGTCCATCATCACCCCACTTTTCTCACCTTCTCGGCTTTGTGCCATTTGCTTGTGATTTTCCGTCTGACGAGTTGCTTTTTGAGTTGCGTGATGTGGAATCCTTCTTGGAATCCTCCTCGCTGATATGATCTTCCGTATCACTCTCCATTGCATCATCACATATTTCCTCATTGTCCACCTCACTCACGTCCTTGCCTGTAACGAGAAAGGATACCCGCTGAGTTGATGCCCGGAATCTGCGTATGAGTTGTGAAACAGCACCCGAATCTGTTTACTGTATGACTTGTCTTGTAACTGAGAACCAAGCTGAGAGCACTTGATATCAGTCAAATATTCACCGCACAAACATCTCATCAATTACCTGAGTTTTCAACTCCCTCTCGTGCGCCCATTGCCACACCCCATCTCGATTCAATCAGAGCGCGTGGAATTTCCTCACTGGAAGGGTGAGAGGCTATAAATGTGCCAGTGCGACCCCAATCATTTGTAATTTACCAGTTAAACCACCGACAAGTGTCCACCGTATCCAATGTATTAGAGTCGATTGGCTGATTTTGCTCTGATTGATTTCGATATTCCCATGTGAAAAGTGGGGTGTCGAGTGCCCGGTAAACTTCCTCCCTAACGACTAATTCCATTACAGCTGAAACGATATCACGTTTTTTTCACCCCATTTCGATACTCAATGACTCCCCAAGCTCAGTCATTTCCACTCTGCCAATATAAAGAGTATCCTCCATTGATGGATAAGACTGTCCTTAACGATTCTCTCAGGACATTGCAATACCTTTAATTGAATTTCTTTTTTCTTCATTTACCACGTACGATTACGCGAGGCTATCTTCCACTTGACTTACAGCCATTGAGACGATTATAAAGATTTGCTATGAATGGGCTTTAGATTTAAAAAAAAGTACAAAATAAAGTTTCGTGTCTTGCCAAGTGAGCCTTAAGTTTTATTACATTTTTACTTAATTTCCTCTTTATAAAAGATTATCTTAGGAAAGTAAGTTTAAATGTTTGTACTTATATTTGAAAGAAAAGGGGATATATCATGAATGATGTTTTAAGTAGCTTAAAATGCTTTTGGGTTAGGTACGTAATTTCTGGAGCATACAAGAATTTAAAACACATACAATAAGGGTGCATTATTTCTAAAAAAAAGAAGATATTATTGAACAGAACATTTTTCGAAAATTTGAAAAATTTTTACGCTTAGTAGTTATGTATTGTTGGGTTTTTTAAGTAATGTTTTATAAATTCAAGTATAAATTCTTTACTATTATAAATTTATGAAACAATTTGAATTCAATGGTCTGATAACACTATAAAAGTTTATCATATTGGTTTCGTATAGAGAGGCTGGAGAGAAATTTTCCGGTTATTTAACCTCATGAATTTTAGAGCATCTCTCCCGTTTCTATTGGAATAAAACTATTTAGTAGAGAAGCGTAATGATTGAAACCCCCTGAGGCTGTGTGGCAGAAAAAGTCTGCCTATTCGTTCACGGTGGTTTTCCTACAAATTGAGAGAGTCGTTAAATATTAATACACTTGCAGAAATAGCAATAAATTTTAATGAGGGAGCAAATGATATGAACATGTGTTTCCATCGGTGGTGCCAATACGGGCCTCCGCAATCGCCCGGGTGTGAATATGCGATTTGGAAAAGTGGCATAAAAATGCCATTTGTATTGATAGAGTTCAGGGGTGGCTTGGATGCTGAGGCATTGGGATTCTGTTCCATCAGCTTTTCATGATCACCCACCCGCCCGACAGCCACTTTGAGTGTGGAACATCCATAAAACGCTTCTTCAATATTTAATGAGTGTTGCCGCTTTGATTGCCTGCGATTTAATAACGCAACTCCCTTGTGTTCTCATTTCCATTCTATACAGCTAAGCACATTTTCCCGCTCGCGCGGGAGTGTGAGCTGAATGGCGAGAGCTCATCAATAGCGGGTGAGAGAGAGACGAGAAGTGGTACAATTTTCATCTTGTACTCCCCATTGATGTTGTGAGAAGAGCTTGATATCGTATTCCCTCGATTAGTGACGATAAGCTCCTCCTATGTTGCAACATATATGGCGGCGTTGTACATAAGTACAGAAATGCCTTTCTCTCACACACTCCACAAATTACGGTGCGGAAAGAGAGACAGAGAATGAGAGCAAGAGATATATTTATTATTAATGAAAACCATACAAATGCCACGCCCATTTGTTTTCATACAATTTGCCTTTTCCATCGTAAAAAAAACACAGCAAATTCACGTTATATGTGTTGAACACACAATTTTCCGTATTCACAATATTCCTACCCCTGCACCATTTTTTCATGCTCAGCACAATGCTTAAATACGAGTGTATTTAGAATGGGGAAATAAAGCTCTTTCGTTAACGTGATAATTGGACATTGGATCGTTCTATTGGGACACCCTCTACTCTCAGCTATTAAAACTTTCGAGGTATTTTTGCCCGGGCTTTAGAAAAAAAGTCATGAGAAACTTCACATATCTCAATTATATTTTCCCCACCTTACGTGAGTTTGCTAAATCGATTCTTCAGTCTCGCAGTAAAAGTGGGGAGCACAAATTGAAAGGAAGAAAAAGTTTAATCTCCAAGAATTTAAATGCATTTCTTCCTTGAAGCCACAGAAGAGCAGAGGATTAGACTAAAAGGAAAGTTTCACGTACTTTTTTACCGCGCCGTGGAAAATCTCATTCTTATAAAACTTTTAACGCGGATCACTTCATTGCCATAAAGTGCATTAAACCGAGATTGCTTTCTAAATTAGACATCATCCCACCCGGGAAAAAATGAGATTTCGAAGAAATCCTAAAAATTTCTATGAAAATAATATTTTATAACGAAAAATGTACATGTGTATGTACTTCCAGTGTAATAATTTGGATCGGAGTGTATGTAAGTGTCCTATTTTCAAACAAATTGCTAGAGAGTAAAGCTTCAAAATAGCGCAACAACACTATAGAAATTTTATAATGATGACCATAATGATTGGGTGCCAAATTCCGCAAAGCGCTTCTATTCATTCCCGGTAGTATGAAAACTAAAAGCCTTCATTAGTTCTCGTATATCAAATTGCATTAATCATTATGAAAGTCATTAGAGCAGATTATTATTATGTTGGCGTCGTTTCTAAAATGATCTCGCGATAATTTTGTGTGTATAATATGGAAATAACAATGCGAAACGATTATACGCGATAATGATTCCCCCCATTAATTATCAAGTAAGTTAATTACCACAAATTCGTAATGTGTTTGCACTGATGAGAGAAAATGGATGGTGTGCACGGAGACGGCGTGCTGAGGAGATGCGAGAATGAGTGGGTGGTTTTGTATAAACCATGAAATGTATACATTAGCAGTTGACGATGGGGTTCACCAAACGATGTGTCTGCGTATCCCATATCAACAACCCCATCATTTTAATCGAATCTCCCCTTGTGCGCACAGGATGGAACCTGCAGAAAATGATAATTCCACTCCAGCCTCGTCGTGCAAACTTCCCCCACGTCATCCAGCTCAGCTTCCCACCCAATAATTCTGCAACCTCTCGATTTCAATGTCAATATTTCATGGAGAAATCTTTTGTCCCACACAGAGTAATAAAGAGGGACGAATATAAAATTTATTTTACAATACCACAAGAATTCTCAATGTAATTGCACATTTGGTTACATTAGATTTATATTCATAGCAACTTTTTCATACAAAGGGTTAGGACTTATCTTGGTTAGGGAGTGTAAAAACGTACTTTTCGTTAAATGATAACATCTATAGTGTAGAATGTTAAAATTGAAAACATTGCTCGGCTATGATTGCGATAGGATTACAACTGACAATGTTAGAATGGTTCAAAACTACATCTAAAATTCGGATTTGTGTGGTTCAATTTAATTAGAAGCGGTCAAATGATTTTAAAAATATTTGCAAATTGGTTTTTATATATTTAATATGACTATGTGATAGCAATAAGATTATACTAAATATAATTTTGATTTTTTCACTTTTTTCTACCCTGTTATACAGATAACAACCATTTACTGTGATTACTTAAATCGTAAAAATTTACACGCAAAGTGTGTTATGATTTTTTTTTATTGAATTAAGAACATCAGAAGTATTTTCTCATATCATACCGTAGAATTTAATTTACATTGTTCGAGTTTCGCTTTGATAATTTATTTCTAGGCAAGTAAAATATGTAAGCAAAGATTACTTAATTTTGATAAAATTTTTCCAGAAACCGAAAATTGCATAGTTTTTACTTTCAACTTCAGAAGTATTTCAAAAAGAGTTTTATCGAATTAATAAGACATTTTTGAAAATCTTTTTCTTGAGTTTTTCATGTAAGAATTGCTTACCTATTGATTTATTAGTTTATTGTGTTATTTTCATTCTTGAAAAATCAAATTTTTTCTAAGATCCGACGATTTTCAAATTCAGTGTCCTTCTATCATTTGACAGCATTAATATGCTATAAAATAGGTTGTGCCATCACTTAATATTATATGCAAATTCAAATTCCACATACAGACGCTTCATTTTGGCAAATTGTGTAAATTTAAGACTTGCAATGGCAATTTCCCCCGAAAGATATCGGAGTTGGAAAACACAACTTAGCATACATTATTAAATAATGGGGAGGGATGAATATTCACGGGTATAAAACAGTCGTACATTCATGGGGTCTGTTTTATTTATGTAGTGCTCATGCACAGGGTGGCAAATAGGTAGACGGTGTTGCTATTGTTACCGCAGAAATTCGCCATTTCCATCATCGCATAAATATGAACGAGAGCTGGTGGTTGAATAAACGCCAAGCCGAATGGGGGAGGGTGAGCAATAATGCTATATACACGGTGGAAAACTCCCCTTTTGTGTTCACAGGGGTTGCTCGGTAGTGAGAAAAGGGGTGTTTATTGTATGTATATCGCAATACACGGCGCTATAGTGTTATCGTTATCAGTATTACCGCGCTTGTTGTTAAAACAGCAATTTGAAAGGGCGTCGCGTTCGGGAGTTGGGGCACGAGAAGGTGTTTAGTACCAACTTAATAATAATCTCCCGGAACATTTTCTTCACTCTGTCAAGGCAAACTTTGTATAAATATATAAATTTCTCGTAATTAAGTTGTAAATTTGGTATACAGTCTGGATACAATTTGATAACACTCCCAAAATCAGATTTGGGTGAAAGGCTGTAATACGAGAGAAGTCGCACTGAATTGTCTAAGCAATGTTCCGGCGATTTATTATTCCATTTCACTGTGACATGAAATCCATTTTCCGCCTCACTACATACGACTGTACCATGTCGCACATTGAAATGTATATATTTTTTCTGCCTTCTTTCACCCAATGCGAAAAGAAATTGCAATTTTCGGGCTATTAGTATCACTGATTGATTGATCAATTAGAGTTCAGGGGGAAAATCTCTATTTCACGCTATTTCCTAGGCATGTCATGGAATTAATAATACGCTAGAATAGCAATTTGCGAAAATCTAAGATGGATTTCCTTGTGAAATATAGAAGTACCTGCTTACGCACAGTTTACACATACTGTGCAACAATAAATTCAAATATAATTGATACATACATATAATTTTATATTAGCCTGACTATACCAACTATATTTTAGCGACGGCTTTAGGAATTTTCAGAGAAGTTAAAAATTCTTTTGTTTAAACCTAAATTCTGCATAATTTTCCTGACTATCCTTGTTGAGTGTGACACAAAAAATGTAAAAATCTGAAATCCCACTCGCAGGTTCCAGTTGGATTTGAATAGTAAAGTAAGGTTTTATGGTGGCTTTGCTTTGGTTTTTCGGTTTCAATTGCAAATCACCAAAGAGGATCGTGTTTAGAATTAGAATCTCCACGCGAAGTGGTGCCAAAGCGACGGATTAAAAGCGCGACACTTTTGCAATGGCATGATTTCAAATGAATGTTGTCAATGGAAGGAGAGAAATAGAAAAAGAACTTACCGGAGTGGGAATCGTCCATGTCATTGTCCATTGAATCCTTGAGCTTATCCTTGTCATATCCCCAAAATCTGGATACGATTTCAGAGCGGGGCTTCTTACCGGTGAACTTGTTGGGATCGAGGATGTTCTCTACTGAGAAGGCAAGTTTCCGAGGGGTATCCTTATCGGTGATGCAGACAGCTTTTGAGTCCATCGAGCGTGTTAAGTCCACAGGACAAATCTGCGATTGAACATTGAGAGACTGCAGAATAAAGTTTTACTTAGTGTCGGGAATTTTTGCTTACCGTCGCTCCGTCTTGGGACTCCATATCATCATTCCCATCGACCACAAGTTCTTCGCTTGTGTCACTGCGGGCATAGGTGGAGTGCAGACCACCCAATTGTATCCGAAAGCCAAAGTCCGATATGTCACTGCTGAGCATCGTCCTGGCCAGCTTTATCTGGTCCACCTCAATTTCTCCTCCCGTCGGTGCTTCGTACTTGACGGAATATTGATTGGTGCTAATGGCAGATAAATTGCTGATGGATTGCTTGTCTCCTTCGGGTGATCCATCATTCTTGACGCGATGCTCTGCACAGCTGCGACCACTGGTCGCGTAGTGGGCACCGACGTACTTCAGACATTCCTCGTGGCCTCTACCATCCGACGGCTCCACCGGACTCAATCTATGCTCCAGCATCTGGCGATTCCGGACGCTCTCGTCATCACTTAGCGCTTCCGCGTAATTTGCATCAATCTGCTTCTGCTGGTTGTTGTTCGACAATGGGAAATTTCGATTCTCCATGCCCCTGACCAAGAGACTATTGGTCACTTTATCCGGAAACTTAGCTTCGGTCTTGCTGGTTTCAAATCGTGCGTACTTGGTTTGAAGGGTCTGATCATCGGGTTTCGGTGACTTTGATCCGGACATGGGGCTCAAAGGGTGCTCACCGTCGTGTCCCGATGACTGCATCATGACCATACTTTTAGAAACGAGGTTCTCTGGCTTGTAATCACAAATTGCACTGAATTCTACAATTCACTCTACACGCGAGATCATTTAAGAAATCCACACCTAATCGACCATAAATGGTGCCACAAACATTCGGCTCAGCGTCTATCCCGGGAAGAGGAAACACGACAGCACTCTAGCAACGACAGTGACTGACTGCGAGAGAGTGGAAAAGCGGGATCTATTCTGAGGCCAGCATCCGAAAGCCGCATGAGCGCGAAGGGTCGTTACTCTGGCACCATGATAGGGAAATGGTGATTTTCTTCTCTGTGGCATTCAATACTGGAAACACGCCTCTTCAGGAGTGATTGTGGTGCGCACTACAGTGCCCCCAATTTGTCTGGCTCCGCCTCCCCAGCAGAGATGCTATGTACTCTCAAATGCAGTGTAGCAACCATCCCTTAGCATTTCTCTATTCTCGCGACGGAGAGAGCGAGAAGCTAACTCGGCACTACACAATGTCCACCCACTCTCATTTAAGTGATTACTTCTCTTATATACCACTTTAGCGTCGGTTGCCACATCGGTCCTATCTTCTACGAAGCTCCAGTATTCCGTGCATCCCGACCATCCGGGAGAACGAGTGTGGAATGTTGCATGAGCATACAATAATTATAGAACACGAAATGTTTTACAAATCCATTACAATTCAACCCCCTTTCCTCTCTTCGAATCCGCTATGACTATTCGTAGCAATTCGTAGTCTCTGGCTTGGGTTTTTCAGCAACCGCAAATGATGAAGGGTTGAGTGTATAATCCTTTGTCAAACCATTCGCAATTACTCACTCGAAACCATTAATTAGGCGATACATTTAATTCCTTCGGTTTGTCTCTTCTTCACAGAAAAACTCATTAGCAATAGTTTTTCTCCATTTTCTTTTCGCTTCTAAATATAGAGACAAAGTCGTTTACATTAATGGAGAAATCCAAAATTTTTTAAGCACATACACATAGTAAAAAAAACATTAATTTATGGAACCACAATAGGTTCGATAATGGAGATAAGAGCAAAAATTAAGATGTAACAAAGGCTCTCTGTGCAAAATGTAGGGAACTTTATGGTATTCAGTGTTGGTGGTTTTTGCCAACAAATCCCTTAAAACAACTCACGAAACATTACGTTCTCGTGTTCTCTCTCATGCTATATACACAATGTACATAACGCCGAAGCTTAAAATGCTTTCGCTTCTTCAAAGTTACTCCCCACCCGCTCGCACATTAAGTCTGTGTGTTTGGGTCTTTCGTTTATATATCGTCTCATTCTCTCGGGGACAAATTTAATTGTCTTGCCTAATAGCAATAATCACATCTTGCAGAGGGAAATCAGTGAAGCAATAATTAGAAAATTTGTCTGAGTAACGCAAATGAATGAGATGTCTGAATAATGTTGGTGATATTCGGGTGTCACGCTATTTGCTCCCATCCCATGTTCAATTTGATGAGGAGAGAAGAATTTAAGGCAATTAGTTTGCATCAAAAGGAGCGAAACTGACATGTCAAAAATTTTAACAAGAGAAGCAATTAATTTCTACTAAGTGGACATATTAATCTTATTCTTCTTCAGTGCTAAATTTAGAGACGCATCGTTTGTGAAGTGCATGCGTGGGGATTGCATATGAGCGAACAGAGCTCACAATGTGTATGTGCAATATTTTCTGTATAAATATTGTAATGTGTTGCACTTTGTTGTCATTTATATTTTACGTCTCATAAATGCTAATTAATTGGATACATCATTTAAATGATTTATGCGGGCTATTATGTCATAATTTTCAGTGCCATTCTCAGTAGCATAAATCACTTCAGAGATGCATTTAATGAAAATTTCAAATATCTTTATTTTACTGCGTACTCAAGTAACTATTGTTTATTTATGTGATTTAAAGTATACATTTATAGTATTTTTCTAAAAAAAATTTAATGAAACTCTTAACACATGTAAATGGTGGAGTATTTCGTTGAATTTCAAAGAGAGGGAAGAAAAATGTAGAAACCCTCGTGCAAACTTCAGTATTTTTCGTATAGATGTCATGCAGATACGTGTTTGGAGGGTTGCTATTAAGGGTTGTAGTCAAGATCCTTATATAACAGAAGTTTTGGAAAGTAATTAGTACATCCGTGACTTAAACCATATAATATGTTTAAAAAAAAATTGGTTTAGTTTAAATCTATAGATGGAGCATTAGGAACTGTGTTCAATTTGTTGCTTTGCGATTTTCCTTACAAAATTATAATAAATGCTTAATTATTAAATTTTTTTGCATACACGTTAATATTCATAACTGCTTTCATATTATTTTAAAAAGTAAATTTATTGTTAAATATTACAATTAATTTAATAACTGTATATGTGTTATGGGAAATTGTAGTCGAAAAGAACAATATTTTCCTTAGCACTTCATTTGAAAATCAGTGCGAAATATAACTTACATATGTTTTCTGATGGCCTCTCGAAATTAAGCTTTTATAATTGGTCTACAAAACCTCCTCAAACTATTGTTGTCGATTGAAGCTGAAACACATATGCGAATGAGTGACGAAGGTATGATATTGTGGGATCGAATATCTCATTAAATGGTCCGCGGAGATTGTATGGAAAAGGAGCACGTGTCTTGATTTCGAAGTCCCTTTCAGCGGTCATGATACAGTTTCTCCTTCTGAAATGAGCCACTCTCCTGGCATTATTGAGCGCCTGCAACAATGCCTGTTCTGCACTACTCACATCATCCATCAATTAAATATAATAAACATCACTCAGGACAATGGTACTCATATAAAAGTGCACAAAGTATGGGTGAAATGATGGCCTATTTGACCGTCGGAAAAATCATTTTCCCACACAACTCGATGAGAGCATCAAATGTATAATGGATAGAATTAACATTTTTTCGTTATATTCATGGACTTTTTTGGGTGAAAAAGAAAGTCAAGAAACTGGAGTAGCATATTTTATTTATTTCATCACACCAGTGTCTCGTGAAATTAACATCCCCGTGAGTGAGTCCGGGAGAAAAAGGATGACATGGAATTAGCATATTTATTATAAAACGTGCTTGGGAATTTTCCTTTTCTGCCTTGACACCTCTTTTTCCGGGTGAAAAAATAATCAAAAACAAAGGTGAGATTTCTCAGAACAGATCAATGATATGATTTTGCATGCATTTTAATGAAATTACCTATATAGAATTCTGATTGGAGAATCCCTCTCGCCGGTGATATTGTTGTCAGTGTTGCAGATATTGGGGTAAATGGCATTACTCGCACCCTCAGACAAAAATCACACAATTTAAGCACTCTATTAAGGAGTCTATTAAAAGTATACACAACAGAGAACGACGGCGTCCCCTCGACCGAGTAATTGGTCCATAATCTTTCTGACAGATTGAAATTTGCTCTCCCCCTGGCTTCCACACAATACTCGGGCTCCTGGGTGGGAGGGAAAATCTCGGTGGCTCCGGGCGAGGGTTGAAGAGGCGCCGCTACAAAGGCGGAAACCCTGAATGGGAATTCTCAGATGAATACCCTCTCGGGTGAGTGGCGGTTCAACAATAAACACTCGATGGAAAAGTATAATCTGGGCTGGTGAGTTGGTATGGATGAGAGTCTCCCTGCAGCTCTCTCGATCCATTTCAGCTATAGGGAAATACAACTTTTTACGTTTGCAAGTGTAGCTACAAGAAGCTTCTATTTGAATTTCAATCACTCGTGAAAGAACATTTCCCATCAGCAGTTATATATATCTATATACAAAGTTGGTGAAATTCCTTTACTCATGCTGTGCACCCATGTACGCCTTGTGTAAATATTTTTACATTAAATAAATGTAGAGTATACACAGTTTTGAATTTATGTTCATATTCGAATTTGCCACAAAGTAATTCTCCTCTTGCAAATACAACTAAAACCTCATACATTCCTCTAATGATACACCAGAATTTCCCGTGTGATTGATTTCGATTTCACATATTAAGAGAAAATCCCAGTGTGATTCTCCCTCGCAATTACATGCAGATTGATGTGCGTTTAATCAATATTCCTGCAATTGTTGTACGACTTATCGCCGCCTTTTTAACACATGTTCCCAATTGTGTTGCGACTGTTGGTGGGTGGTTATTGTTGAGCGTCAACAATAATGGCGATGCAGAAAGCAATTCTATGCACAATGTATTTGTCTTTTTTACATAGGCGTCGCAAAGTCTCTACTTTTCGGGTGGATATATTTCTGAACAATGCAAAGGAGGTTGGTAGAAACGAAAAAGCGACGTGCGCAATCAAATGCTAAAATTTAACAATTGAAAAAGACTTTCCTCGCTCTTTTATTCGCACTCACGAGCAACCACATTCACATATCATTTACGTTGAGAAGGATGGAAAAATAATTAAACCCAAATGGCATTCAATTCCTCCCCGTGCTCGAAGGAAGATTGTGAAATGTTTTGATGTATTTTAATTTGGCGAAAAGTGCACGCGGTATTTGAGCAAAAGTTTTGGCATGAAAAGGGAGCGTAATATTTCAGGAAATTTGAGAATGCGGAGATGAAAGTTTTCGAATCGTATTTTGTATTCACATTAAGCATTGTATTCAATTATAAATTTTGGACTTTGGAAAAGTAAAAAGGTTTTCCATTTGGAGGCCTTTTTACATATTGCTTATGATCTTATAAGGAGTTCATATTTGACACATGATCAATAAAAACCTGTTAACAAAAGTAATTGAACGATCCATTGTAGAATAACCCATAACTTTAATAATCTATCACATTGGCAAGGGATTTAATGAATGTCAAAATATCAATAGATATTTTCATACGATGTGGAGAAAATTTCGAAGCCTATTCCTTCTCCCTCTCTCTCTGCCTCTGGAGAGTTCTGGTTTAATGTGGGGTCTGGGCGAGCAATTTTACTCAGCGGTCGGGCTATCATCACACCCTTTTTCTCCTCCACCCCCGCAAAAATTCCATGCCAAAGAGGAGTAATATATTTGAAATGTGCCTCACAAAGCCCTCATTGTGGGTTTCGTTGCTCTTCACTGTGATTGCTTTGTGATCTCTTAGCGTTTCTCAGCGTACAATTTGATGCCAAAGGGAGCATTTTCGCTTATTAATTTTCATGTATCTTTGGCAAAAAGGGAATTTGTTCCGACCCTCTGAACTTCCATTCCCTCTCTATCATATTCAGCATTTGTTTGCAAAAACGGAGGATCATCAAATATATTTAATCATATTTCCATGTTGTGCAAAAATAGCCTAACCACCGCTAAAATGTCTGGAGGAAGAGATCCACGAACAACATGAAAGACAGAATATGGCATTTTGCCTTGTTAATTTTTCACATTTACCACACATTTGGTGGGACATTAAAAAGTTATATATTTCGTGATTGCGTTTCAATGGTGGTCTCACGTGAAATGGCAATTTGTCAAGAGGAATTAAATTTCACTCACTTAACTAAATGAAAGTAATTAAAATGAGAACAAGTTTGAGGGGGTGTTTGATAAAGAACTCGCCTGCGTGAGGGGTAAAATTGGGCATTTCCACACCAAATTGCGTACACTATCTCGTGATGAAAATGTTATCCGATAGACTGAAATGGTTTCATCCCCGATCCCTTCAAGAAAAAAACGTAAAAGTCCTTTTTGTGCAGACAATCCCTAGAAATCACCCTGGGGTTGAAGAGAAGCGGGAGGAAAGGGAGGAAAAGTCAGTAAGATTTGAGTAGAGAATATGTGAAATTGAAGGGGAATCTCACCGTCTACCCATAACCATTCTCTAATGTTTTCAATTATTATTGCAATTACATAAAACATCCAACTTTATACCCAAAAGGTACGACATTTATTGCACCATTCTCAACTCGACTATATCGTACCAACATTTTCACTCTCTTTCTGGCGCAAAATCACACTTTGAGTTGCTGAGAAACTTTTATACTACACACTCTAAATGGAATAACTAGCATTATCATTAAGGGTAGAAGTGGGAAAATTTCATTATTTCTCCACAACTTTTGTGGCGGAATAAATGTGAGTCCTCGTTTATCAAGACATTTGAATGTAAATGAAATTTCCAACCGCCTGTGCATAAGCTCATTTTTGTGAAGCACTATAATAATTTTATAGAAAAAATATCTATTCCGACAAAAATTTTACGACCAATTGATCGTAAGAGGAAAAATAGAAAGTTATCTAAAGAAAACTAGATGTTTTTCTTCATGACTACAATTGTTTGTTCAGAAATTTATGAAGTACAATATTAACTGTTGTGAAAAAATGTTTAATACTAAGCATATGGAAACTATATTTGTATCTATAAGCTTTTATCATGTTCAAATTATAGTTATTCGATAATTCTCACATTTTATCTCCATGATTTCGTACTCATAAATTACAAAGCTCAAGGGGTTGGCCTCTGCCAGAGGCTTTGCGGAAGCCATTATTACCCATTCGGCGTTCGTTGTATATATTTATGATAGAATCCCAATGCTTTCAGAATGGGAAATCCAATAAAAGGCTGGACATTGTTTAACAGGGTGAAATAAAACTGCATTTAACATTCAGCAAGTTTGCCCTCTGGCTACAAAATTTCATGTGGCGTTAAATGTTGTGCAATTCATTCAATAGGAAATCACTGGTTCGCACTGTAATAATATGTCTTGTATTTTTTTTTTTGAAAAATAATTCCCGGCTCGAGTTATCTGAAAAAGAGAGAATTAAAGAGCGAAAGAGAGGATGAATATGAGAAATGGAACATGCTCAAGTTGCAATTCAATAAAAATTTCAATATGTCTCGCATCTCAAATAGAAATACAATTATTGTTACACCTCCAGGTGGGTTCGGATTACAGAGTCGCGTATAAAATCCTTGGTAGAGTAAAATATCAGTTTTAAATTAAATTATCGTGTTAAATGAAATACTTGACAGGGGAACAAAAGAAGAAGCATCTAAAATCCTGTCTGAAGTATTTTTTTATCGCCTTTAATAATCGGTATAGTGACAAACATTTAGTCCATTGTGTCTGCAATTTGAAACTTTAGTTTATTTCCTATTATTCCTCGTGTTTAGCGCCATTATAAATATGAGCCCAAAGTGATGCTTAAAAATCCTCCTTTCTGGGATTGTATTAAATATATTTCTATACCACGACGAAGAGGGTAGAAATCAAAAGAGAAATGGAGATAAAGAATTGTCTCAAGGACAAAAAATTTGCACCGAAACCCAGACCAAATAGAAGGACAAGAGTTTATGTGATAAAGCCAAAAATCAGCTTATATCCGAAAGTGACTTAAGATTTGCGTATTTTACCTCGACTGTCCCCTCATCGCATCATTCTGTAACATAATACGACGGTGAAGGAGCTGATAAGTAAAATAAAAGGAGACACATGGTGAATTATTTTAATTTACCGCTACATGAAAGTGGATTTTCTGTTCTATTAGCAAGCATTTATGGCTGTACAATTTATATATACCATCAACCTATTAAGGCTTGATGGGTTTGCGAGCGAAAGAGGGTGGCAAAATGAACATTCAAGTCACTGGAAGCCACCAAGCAAAACAAGCCCCTTCTCCCAAGATGAAACAACACTCAGCCATTAAACACAGATTTTCTCTATCACATGAATGTGCTTTGTTGCCAAAATGGGGAGAGCTCCTTGATGGTGAAATTAGATGAAAATAATGCTATTAGTATTATCTGAGAGGGTGCGAAAACGTGTAGAGAATTGAGTCATAAAAGCTCTAATTCGAAATTTTTTTTTAGTATATCTAGTATTTTAGTATACATATATTATGCACATAGGTATGAATGATATTTGTATAGTCAGTAGGAAATCGAATATAATTTCACTTACCTTTTCATAAGTCTCAGTTACACGATAATCCATGATCTTTATTAAACCGGGATGTTGTCCATGAGAGTGTTGTATGAATTTCCCTTTATTTTTTTTGCCATTTTTACGCGAGCTCCAAAAATGTTTCCTACTCTGTATATACGAAATATTTCAATTAAGGTCGAGGGGTATGAGATCAGGGAAAGACATTAAATGAGGGTGTCTTCAAGGGTGAGGAACAATTTTAAGTACACATTGTGTGTTTTTGGCTAATAGCACCTCATTTTCAGTGTTCTGTGTGGGGCCAGGGGAATCGCAAAGAGGCTCTCGCACAATATATAATCTTCTCAATCCTTTTCTTCCCAGCAGAAGCTGACTTCCTTCATAGTCTAGATGAGGAGTTGTGGTGTTGAAATAATTGGGGATTTTTGCCGCAACTCCCTGCGGAAAATAGTCATGTGGTAGGAAAGTACAGTTTCAACGTGATGAGCAATTTATTAATTTCCTGTAGCATATGATAAAAATGTTCTACTGCACTTTCTGTGCCCATCAGCGGTGATGTTACATCAAAATTGACTCTATTTTCATGTTGCTTTCTGATGTGCATGCTTTTTTGGTTGATGGGTCAGTCATATAGCGCCAGAAAAAAACATCACTTTGCATCATCCCTCGCTAAACATGGAATTATTATTAGTTGATTCCTGCCACAGAGGCGCATATGTGTGAATTGTGTAAATGGATGGGATTCACCCTCGCATCTGGTGCATTTGGACAGAATGTGTCGGGGTGAAAATATATGAAGTCGATGGCAGAGAGATTTATCAACTTCACTCCCTCTGCGCGGTTTTGAGCACTCAACCGAGGAGGCATGTTTATCATGCAATTAATAGAGTAATACGTCAATTAGATTTTGGAAAGCAAGTGAGATATGCACTGGCGAAGTGCCTAATCTAATCGTCTCTCAAATGGAAAATTTGATTTTGATTTTCATCTCTCGAGAACCCAACCACTTATTCTCATTCCTCAGTAACTTGAGAGGCAATTTGAGATTGAACGACCCTCTCCCCATCGTTGGTATTCTTCAGCTTAGCGTCTCCTTGTGTGATAACATGAAAATTGCGCTATTTGAGCATGTAAGACGCTCTTTTTGAGACGCTGAACTGTTGATAAAAAAATTTATCGAAGGGATGCCGGTATTATGTGCTCCTTCTCAGGGGCTTACACAATGAATAAATTTAAAAGAAGGTAGAAATAAGCGAGGGTGGAATGAAAGGTGATACAAATACCGATTTTTCCTCACTTTCGCCAATACACATACTTTTTCCGCCTCACAGAAGCATCTTTAGAGCGAAAGAAGGAAAGACGGAGGAAAGTTTCGGTCATGGAAGTTGTTATACTTTGTATTCCTCCGGGGAAGTGTGCGAAGCTATTGAAGAATTTTCATATAAAAGGACGACGCCCAAGTAAAAGAAATGCACATTTTATACTTCAAAAAAGTCCTACATTTAAAATATACAATATTTGTTTTATATAACAAAAATTACATTTAGCTAATGAATATTTTCTTCCTCCTCTTTTTTATTCTTTATGTGACAATATTACAGTCCCCTGAAGAAGTAATTTTTTTTTAATTCAAGTTACTCTCTATACTTTGTTTTGCAATAATTGTGAAATTTAATGAAAAGAAGCTTTTTATACATTTCCTATACATATTCTTACAATTAGAAAATTATATTCTTTGTTTTTTATACATGAAAGAAAAATCACATTTCATCAACTTCTGTGTAGTATATAAAATTTAAAAATTGCAATGAATTTTTCCCGAAACCTAAAGTTTTGTTTTCTTGAATTCTATTGTGGGCATAAATTGTCTTCAGCCATCAATGAAATAATTCGATTTTGATTAATCCGTAAATTTTGTCGGAATTCACTTAATTTTGCATATTTCCGCCATGATAAAAAATGTCTCTGCTTTCTATCAACGCGATTTATCGTAAATAGAATTCTCCTCAGCCCCAATTCTGCTCCCCATCAAAACCAACACCACAATCACACTCAACTTGTCAGTAAATTTAGATATAGAGTTAGTAAATGCGATTTATGTGGCTTTTACTGCCAATCTTTCTCGTGAGCTTCTGGTTCTGAATCCCCCGCCCCCTCCCGACTCTTTTGATTATGCGTTGTGTGGTGGAGCCCGCTGGATCCTACCAGAGCGGAGATTGCAGCTCGACGGCACTCGGGATGCTCTACACGAGAGATGATAATGGCGGCCGAGGCGACGTGCCACTCCTCGTGGAGTAGTAAAGGGGGGCCGCGTGCGAGTGGGGTGGTGGCGGGGCGAATCCTGTGCCAGCCGCGCCGGCACTCTCGTGGTACAGAACAGGAACGCGAACAAGTCTCTGGGCCGCATGTGCCATATTTGCCATGTTGGCGGCCTCCAGTTCAGCAGCCAATTGACGCTTCCATTTGTTCCGTCGATTCTGAAACCATATCTTCACTTGAGTTTCGGTCAATCGCAGTGATGCCGCCAAGCCAGCTCGCTCCGATGAACTCAGGTACCTGCGGAGAGACGGGCCATTTTAGGGGAAATCAACTCACACAATATCTGGGGATGCCTCTGAAAATCTCATTCGGAAAAACAGAGAAAAAGGCGTCTGGGCGAGAGAGCAAATCCAAAAATGGAAATGAGAAAGACAGAGAGAGACAGTGAGAGTGAGACACACCTTTTTATATCAAATGTTGATTCTAGTTGAAACACTTGCGCTCTGGAGAAAACAGTTCGGGTTTTCTTTTTCCTTTTCGTCTGAATTGGACCATTATTATTTGGGTGTGGTGACGCATTATCCAATGTTCGATCCGGCGTATCCGAGCCGTCGTCCTCAATTATCTCCTGGTGCTCGTCATCTGATCCCGCACCCGCCGGATATGCGGCCTGAGCCACCCCAGCCGTTGGCGATTTATTTTCCTGCTGCGGTTGCGGACTCAGCGTCGGCGATGGATTCTCGGTGGTGTTTGTTGAGGAGCTATCTGCAAATTTATCCCCTCTTTAGCAAACACTCTGGGTACTTTGCAATTAGGGCGCAAAATCACTGACATGGGGGTGAATAACAATTCTTGCCGTCGGATAATTATCTGATAGCAATGGCTCTATTATTGTCTATTTCGGATTGAACTTCAATGAGTGTATATTCACAATTGGGATGGTTTTGTCTTCAGGAAGTGCACTATGTTCAGACTTTGAGCTTACTAGAAAAGAAAGGATTGATTTTCTTTTTTTTCGTTATTGAATATCAATTTTATCGTTCAGTAATTTTCTGCAAATATAAAATTAAAAATCGGAAAAATCATATCCTGTGATGTAGGAGATTTTATATGTATCATCATCTAATTATTTAACCTGTTTAGTCTGAAGTTTTAATCAGAAGTGCAGACAAAAAATGTGTTACTTTAGAAAAAGACAAGAAGTTGAATGGGTAAAGTGTTCCCTCCAACCTCTTCTGCTTTCTGTATTTCTATTAATTTTTTTAGCCAAAATACACGATAGAAATAAAAAAACAAGCAGTAATTAACTTTGTCAAATAATGTTTAGTGATCTATTACAAATAGTCATTGTTCAGTTACTTAATTATACATTTCTGAAAATATATACCATAAGTCTCTATAATACTGAATTATGCACTTTATGTAATTGAATGTTTAATGTCGGCCATTTTAATGGAATTTACAATAGCATAATTAATCAAATATGATTTTATTCAAGTTTTATCGTACCCATTATTATTTACTAATATTTTTATTGCTGGAGCGAGTATTAAAAATCAATTTTCACAATTACCGGGAAAACTACATCATTTCAACCGAAAATAATCAAATGCATTTAGTGGAAATAAGTGCAAGAGTTAATTGATTGCGACAGGGTCAAATTTTTATTGAGCACTTAACACTCTCATGTCGGTAAATAGCTTAAAAGAGGAGTTTAGAAACTGGGAAATTTCCTCGTGTCGCCCCAATTTTTTACACACTTGAAACTTTTGGGGCTTCCACTATTGATTTTATACAGTGAGAACCCTGCAGGGCTTCCAAATGCCATCGTCTATTGATTTGCCACTGAAGTACCTCAAGGCAAAATTAGAGTCAGTTGGAGGAAAGTTGTAAAAGCTTTTTTGTAGCTCCACTGAATCGAACTGTGAGAGATTAAGTGCGAAAACATAAGTGTGGCAGTTATTTTTAAGCGGGATTTACTTCTTGCATCAGTCGTAGAAACAGAAATATAAAGGCCGGCTATCAGGTTAATTTGAGGTGTGGGGCGTGGGGCAAACTTATAAAACTCACCATTGGGACTGTGAAATGATATCCGATGTGCCGACCATGGCCATCCTGGGGGACACAGGGCGGCATATCTCCCCGCCAGAGCGCCCCATTGCGATATGAAACCTAACCTGGAACGAGAAGAGAGGGAGGTTGTATGAATTTTTTGCACAAGGGACGATTTTGCACGCAATTCGTATGACTTGAGGCGACAATGATTGACCAATTCATTGCGTGGCGACTAAGGACAAGAATAAAATTGTGTTTTACAGAATTGCCACCTTTTTGCAGTAACATACTTTTTCTGTGAAAGAACTTTTTAACTTTTGCCATTTTCTGCATGCGAGAATTTCGTGAAAATCATGAAAGTCTTCGTAAATATACATATTATATGTCGGAAATTCAATATTTATTAAATAAATAGACAATTTAGCTTCAAAATGTATACACCCAATTTCCCACACATTTTCTACGAAATTCAATTTGATATCTCAGGCAGAAGCAAAGGAAAACTTTTAATGGGGAAATGTTATATTTTATCCATATTGGTGGGACTCTTTCGGAGAAAGGAAACCATGAGAAGGATGAGAATTTATATCTACCCTGTGTGAAGGAAGTGCAAAGAACCCTTTTGAATACTGAGCTGAAGAAGTTGCGAATCAGTGTATAAATCTTTAAATAACTGCTAAGTTACCCTCCGGAGATAAATGATTAATTTTGTAAATACAAAGTACTCAAACACGAAGAAACTTTTCAATATCCGTCTAATAAAGTATTAAGTACACCACTCTCCATCTCTCCTTGACACGATTTCTCACAAGGAGATGCGCAATAAAGGGGTATTAGTTAATATATAAAGGAGTTTAGCTTTGGTGGTATTTTAACGTAAACAGATAAGAAGAAAGCTGATGGTGTACTGAGCGGCATAATTCGGCATATTCCTTTGTTAAAACTGACAAACCATAATATTTTCCTAAGTCCTTTTGTGATTATACAAAGTACAGACATGCTGCAGAAATTGACACAAATTTTGTTTTCAGAACTAATTTTTGACAATAAATTCGAAAAGATTATTTTCAGTTCAACAATTTTAATACACCCAGACCAAGTCAATGGAGAGTGATATAATACCATTGTTGCACTTCTTTCACCGCCATTATTCAACTCACAATACCCTCTTTTGTTCACAAGCATACCCACTATCTCCTGCCGTTCAAACGGGAGCAAATCGGTAAATAATTCATTGTTATAAATAAGTAATGAAAATGATCATTATGCTACTCAATGTGAATCTGTGAATGGGGTGAACTTATATAGATCAATTATTTCAATAGAGAGAATGCCTAATTGTTGCTTCATTTTCTGTATCAATTGGAATAATAGGAATATCTTTCGAGCCTTTGGCGAAAAAAAAAACAAATTAAAACAAGAGACAAGTCTAAAAATGAAATTAATATGAACTCCCAAGAGAAATCCAATGACGAAGTGGCATTATAATTAAGCTTGATTACCGTTCAGCACAAAAGTACCTGCTGTTAATATAAATTGGCCACCTCGAATTTCCCATTGACAAATCACCCTCTCTAATCATCCTTTTGTAATTTGACCCGACTTTTCAAACTTCTACAACACTTACAAATCATCAATTTCTTTAATCATTTCGTAATTAAACTGAGGAAGACATAGAAATGCATCAATCGCCTAATATAGATGATTGATGTGAAAAATCCTGACAAAGTCTGAGATTAGGATCTCTTTGAAGGAGCTTTTGCGTGTAAATTGAATCCCGTCAGAGTAATTCAGTACATGATTGAAAAGAGATTTTCCTGACTGGGTGTCCTCTCAAACACGCATTTTTGACTGCAATCACGAAATTAGTTGCGTTCGGATTCAATGGAATGAGGGATGTTATCTTGCGTGATATAAAGGATTCTCCGTTCAACATTCTGGCATTATATCTCATCCTAGTTCCAATTCTATTTAACGTTTTTATGTGGGTTCCAAGCTCTCAACTCCGCGTGAGCCTATAAAAAAGATAAATACACAGGGATAATTTTGGATTAAATACTGTGTGTGTGCGGAGATGAATGAAAGTAGAAAATGGGGATGAATTGAGACACTGAATGAGGACTATAAAAGGCAATGCGAATCAGATTTCATGCTTTCGCTTACTTAATGGATTCATCTTCTCCTGCTGTGAAAAGGACTTTTTGTGTTCCGACAAAGCGAACAGCATGAGGAAGGATAAATTTGTGTGAGGATGAATTCAAAACATGATAATCACTGGTGGTGTTCCTGGGCTACTGATGTGGTCGACAGTTGGAAAAAGAATCTAAATGAAAATCACATAATCGATAATCTTATCCTTAGGATCCCTGCGATTCCTTCCATCTCATTTCCGCGATTTCTTTTATGCTTATGCCAGCTCAAATGAAATATTAATGAGAAAATAATCCCCTACAGCAGGTCACCATTGATCGATATCGAAGAAGAATTGCCCGATAAAGATAGTTGTTTTTGCCATTAGGAGCTCACCTCTGCTTTCCACCCATACATTTTGGTATTGAATTTCAAACACTCTGGCCAAAGCCGATGAATAGGAAATCCCCCAAGTTAGCACACAGTGATTACTCCAGAAAGATGAGCATGTGTCAGTCAATAACATGTTGCTGGATTAGTTTACAAATTATGTCGCAATTAAATTTCCAACACAGAAAATTCTCGGTGATTTTTAGTTATCCTTCTGTTGCTGTGCTGCAGATTAATTTATTTGACGACTGCACCATTCTGGTGTGCAATATGCAATACGGTTTTATGCCTTGGGGTCGCTTGAGCGTCTATTCTCGCGGAGGGTGTAGAAAGGGAAAACTTAAATGTGAAATAATTTGAAATGTTTCCACTTGAATAATCCTCCACTATTGCTTCTGGCAAACATGCTCAGTTCACCCATCTTCAGGGATTGAAATTGTATATGAGTCAAGTTGAAAAAAATATGTTCGTAAGTCTATCTTCGGCTAACAATTTATGTTTAATAAGTTGAGGGTGAGCAAGAGGATGTCAACATGACATTGTTTTTATTTCAATACAGCCAAGAGTATTGTCTAGCCTAATGATAGCTGCTAATTATCAATTCCTTTTACTTTTAACTACATAGTGTGAACATCACCATTTTCTGGACAGAAAAAGTGGCTAACAAAGAATTAGATTCTCCACTCAATTTCACCCTAATTTCTCCTCCTCCTCTTGATTCATAAAAATTAATTGAAGAGCACTCGAATGGCTTCACCCCTGCGTTTTTGCTCACGACAGTGACAAACAGGAAATTGTGTTTAACTCCACAGTCAAATATTAATAAGCCATGAGGTACAATCTTATCTGATAATCTAATCGGTGTGGCACACGACCCAAAGCTCATGAATAAAAATAATCGAGCATCATATGTGGAAACCATATAATTTGTTAGGCGGAATGTTGAGACGCGCATTAGGTAGAGGAAAAAAGGATAGTGAATAGTACAATGCCCCCCAGATCCGCGCTCTCATTCTAAGCAGAAATTCCTCACATGATATACAATAGTGAATGTCCGCACAAACGAGGAGTGACGCAAATTTTAATAAATTAATTGCCGCTCTTAGACATTTGGTCTTTCAATTAAAATTATTACCACAAAACATGGGAATTCACGTATAATGAACAGTAAATTGCTCATTGGGGGTGGTTGTGTAGTTTACCGTCGTTTGGCGAATGAGAACATATACCCAGATGGAATCTGAGGCGTGTTTTTCTACTCCTATTATTTTATTTTGTCATAAAATGCAAATTACCGGCCGTCCCTAATGGAATTATCTGTATGAACTATTTTAAACGGCCGCACAACAATGAATTATAATTAGTAAAACTGTTTGAATATGCATGACAGTTTCTGAAAAAAAATCAATTACAGAATTTAAGAGCACGAGACGTGTTTTGGGCACAACTTCTGATGAGTCATTTGAACAATTTCTCAACCATACCTTGATAGCATCGAAGCATCGTGGTGACCACCGATTCCTTGTGCAGCTGGAACAGATGGAAAGGGCGCGATGGGCCCCTTCTTGGGGTCATTGCGACTCAAGATGCTGGAAATCGAGAAGCTCGTATATCCCGCTCCTGAGACCTTTCTCTGATCGGTGGGTGAGTGATGTGGTGACCCGAGGCGACTCTCCGTGCCATCTTGATACGTGTTGATGATTGTGTGTTGCGACTGACGACCCTTGGCCTCCTCGGGCGTCCTCAGCGACGGCGAATCTTCACGCTGGGGACTTGCTTCAGGACTAGACACAACACTGATATCCACATCTGTGTCTTGTGACATGATTCTCCCTCTCTGCTCTAAGTCTCGTGAAATTAATTCCTTCAAGCTTTCCTTTTGTGCTCTCCCACAACGGTGACACAGGTAAATTGTCAAGTTTTAAATTACAATAAATTAGCCTCTCACCACAGAAATGCCAGAGTCATTTTTCTCTGCGTGCTTCCAACAAGATGACACTACTCTTGGCATTTTTCGCACGGCTTATTAATGCTGCTCAAATTGGCAATCACTATCTTCACTCTTATTGATTTCTCTACAGTGTTAGTAATTTGTCCAATTGTTTCTGCTTAAGCCAATTGAGTGAAAACAAGAAACTTATAAAACCTCAATGTTCTGTTGCGATCCCGACAATCACACTGCGAACGGCATTTGAGTTCCCCTGTCAAGACCGGTAGTCGGAGCAACTGTGACGATGATGAGACGACAGCGAATAATCGTGTGCGCCAAAGGGAGAGTAAAAACAACCCCAGGGGTTGATGTTGTGTGCGTGCTTGTGCAAGAGTTGAGGAATATTGAAGCGGCAACGCATTCACACGGGCAAACAGAAGGGCGGAGCACGGATTGCGGCCAATAGGAGTCAAAAAGAGGAGTGATATATTTTCCACCCCAGCGAAAGAGCCCTTTTTCACCATCATCATTCTTCGACCCCCCAGTTTTCGTGCGATATTTCGTGGCTCTTGCCATCCCTCTTCTGTTCCCATGGGCGGCCCAACTGTGAGAGAGGGAGTCAGAGATTCCGAGTACCGAGAATATAGGGGTGAATTGCCAAAGGAGGCGAAAGCACTCAATGCTGAGGGGATGAATGATGGTGAGAAAGAGAAGTCGAGTTGAAATATCCCAACTCACAAATGCTCGAAACGATAAATGTGGCGGGAAATGGGAAAAGTCTTGTTTCTCTCTTTTCACTCTTTGCTAATTCATCAGGCCATCAACACGACATAATATGATACAAAGCCATAAGGGATGAAAATGGAAACAATGTTATTTTAGTACCTTACTCTATCTTCTCCGGTCCCAATTCGTGAGGGTTAGAAAGAGATAGAGAGAAACAGGGGAGAAATAAAATATTCTCGTTATTTCCTCTAATTACACGCAAAATCGTTTTAGCAATAAATATCACATACATTCCCCAAAAAACCTACAACACACGCACCATTTATACGCCCAGGAAAAGTTAAATGTGTGTAATGGGCCTAATAAATTTTGCATCATCAGCGAAGCAAATGGGGAGAAGAGTGGTTTTGCGTAAATTGTGCGTCGAGTGGCTCACCATATAGTGTGACCTTAAATTGACGGTGTTAAATATTAAATGGGCGAAAAATTTAAGGGTCCTCTGGTGGGGAAGACTTTAGTCAGTGATGCACTCTCCATTTCCGACACTCTATGACTTTCAGACACGGTTTTATGTCACCATTTTGTGCACTGTTGCAAAAAGTGCTGCAATCACTTTTTAAATACATTTAATACATATATTTTTCCATACTTGCGTTTTACATTTAAAAATTAACATTTTAAAAGAATTGACCACCTACTTATGCTAAGAAAATGAATATAGGAAGGATAAAAGAGATGCCAGCCTATGAAAATGCATCGCGATTGTAAAACGTAAGATATTTCTCGATTATACTGACAATAAGATCTACCTTAATACCTTTCATCACATGCGCTGGCAATTGATAATCTCACAAAGAAGTGCGCCTGCATGAGAAGAACAGTTTGTACATTGTATACAATCAAATTCTTCAACACTGTGGATTCTGCATTAACGTGGAAAGCAGTGAAAGCATCTCCATTCTGCCCTCATGTTCAGTACTTGATCTTCTTAAACTGTATGATCATCACCATTGGACAATGGTGAGACACAATGGGATGAATTCGTAGCAGATTTCACACATAAGTGCCGACACTTAATCCGTCGCTCTAAACACCTTTTATCCATGGGATATTTTGTCCTTCTTCAGCATCTCTCTTCTGCCACCTCTTTTTTCTACAACAATAAATATTTATCTGGAGCAACTCTGCCGAAAGATAAACATTACACTTGGGCATAAAAGGAACCCAAAAGACATTTTTTGCTAACACTTTTTTTGTCTCTTAGCATTTTCCTACATGAATATCACTGGGTAGGGAAAAGCTTATTTTCTCGGGGTTTTTCCGAAGTAATGGGTTAATCTGAGAATTTGTGACATACATGTAATCTTCGGATTTCTTTAGGAGAACAGCAATAAGTGAAATTTATTTTGCGGGCAAAATCGGATAAAGACCTTTTTCTATGAGATTGAAGTGGATTAAAGTGAGGTAAATCCTTAAATATTACATAGAAATGTGCAATAATTCAACGTTATAAAGGTGAATAAAGCGAAATCAAAAAGCAATTCATTGTTGCTGAGAGAAATAAAAAAAAAGACTGCCTTTATCTATTGGACCGCAATGGAGTGATTTTGAGAATGATTCCCAAGTGAAGAGAGGGAAACAAAGGGAATAATGCAAGAAGCACTCCATTTTAGTGGAATTATGATATCAAACATTTTACCGACCGACCACCAAAGATGATGATGGAAGGAGAAATCTCGGTGGAATCGATGCCAATTTTTCAGCTCCTTCAGTATCACCATCGCACAGAGGGACGGGCAGATAAGTTTCATAAAGTAGGTAAAACTACTGTTGAGAGGACCACAAATGATTTTGTGCTCACTCGAGTGCACTTAATGTTCAACACTCGACGGATTAGCTGGAGTTTTGAGTAGCTCAAAGAATAGGGAGGGTCACCGAGGCAAGAAATATGAATAAAGCGAATTATAATTGGGAGGGAGAAAAGATGTTTTGCAACAATGTTGGGCACTTCTCAATTTCGTCTAGACTTTAATTACACGATTTTCCCAATGACTGATCTTTGCTCTAGCATCCTGAAATAAAGTACTTATTGTGCGTTGAGAAGAGGTGAAGTTATTGCCTAAATTCGTAAGGCGCCAGTTGAGATAAATGGACAATGACCAATTGAGTGAAGGAAAAGGCTGGGTTTTACACTTACAAAGGTTCACTATTTTCAATAAATCCAAATGGAATATTAAAGAAATTACCTAGGATGCACCCTGATCTTGATTATTGTGCATGAATTGCACTGATGATGCCAAATTGTGCGTTTTCAGATGATTGTTTCGGGCATCTGCCCTCCTAAACTGCTTTCTACACACTGTACAGTGAAATGGCTTCTCGCCAGTGTGGATCCGGAAGTGCTCCTTCAAGTGGCCCGGCTGGGAAAAGGTCTTCTGGCACACAGGACACTTGTGAGGCTTTTCTCCTCTATGCATTCGTCTATGCTTCTGGAAACTGCTCTGATGTATAAACTGCTTTCCACACTCTGAACATTTGTAATTCTTCTCGCCTGTGTGGATCTTCATGTGGTCAGCGTAGTGTCCGGAGGCGTAGAAAGTCTTCTCGCAGAGTGTGCACTTGAAGGGTCGATCACCGGTGTGTGTTCTTGTATGGACAACAAGATTGCTGCTGTGCTGGAAGGATTTCCCACAGAAAGTACACTGATAAGGGCGCTCTCCAGTGTGCACTAACATGTGCTTTTTCACACTAGTCAGGTACGCAAAAGACTTCCCGCACATGTCACACCTGTAGGGCTTCTCTCCAGTGTGGATGCGGGAGTGCTTGATCTTGTCGCAAGACTGAGCGAATCTCTTATCACAAAAATCACACTTGTGAGGCTTCCCGTCGGCATGAATCCTTTTATGACGTTCCAAATCTCTCAAATCTGCATATGGAATACCACATATTTCACAGGAAACAACTGCCGGTCCTGTGTGGCGTTTCAGATGCTTAAGGAGAGTCTGGCTGAGGCTGAAATTCTGTCCACAGAAAGAGCATTTATGACGCTCCTCAATGTGATGCTTTACGTGACTGGAGAGGATTGAAATGCTGGAGAATGTCAAGCCACATTTACCACACTTGAACTCCTTCTCAGCCTCATGATTTATTCTCAAGTGAAGAGTCAAGTCGTGAGGAACACCTGAAAAATCCTCACACAGTGAACACTTCTTCCTACTTGGAATTGAGAGGACTATTTTTTGAGGCTCGTCACAGATTTCTTGATACTTCTCCTCTTCCGACAAGTGCTCCAGCTTCTGATGATCCTCTTTCGTTGTGTGATTTCGAGAGTAGTGCATTAGCAATGTCTGCTTCCGGATAAATTTCAAGGGACAGAGAAGACAAGAGTACTTCTTAAAACACTCTATAGTTTTCATCGAAGTCTGAATCAGATTATCTGACGATGAGCTTTCGAAATCACTTTTCTGTGGAGAAACTGAGAATTTCCCTTGACTAATCTCATTCTGATGTAGTTTCTGCATGTGATTTGTGAGGTTCTTAAACTGAGCAAACAGTCGATCACAGAAGACACACTCAAACACTGATTCATTCCTATGTACCCGTCGATGAATATGCAAATCTTCAGACCTCGTGAATTTCTTTTCACATTCCCTACATTCGTAGACCTTGTCGTCTCCATGGATCTTCCCGTGGTTGAGAAGATTATCTGTCGATGGAAATGATTTCCCGCATTCTGAGCAATCATAGCTCTCCACAAGTTTCTTTCCTCCAACGAAATGATTCCTGACATGATCGTCCAAGCATGTGGCGTTCTCAAAGTTTGCCTGGCATAAATTGCACTGGAAGTTCTTCTTGATTTCCATTATGCATTCCTGTAAAGAGGGAAAACACGGAATTAGTGGATGATTCTTTGTTGATGAAATTCACAGCATCAGAAGAAATAACTCATGATTTCTCTATTAAGCGCAAAATTTATATTGAAGTATTTAAAATGGTATAAATTGAGATTGTACAAAAATGGTCTCAATTAAGTACTCTTTAGGAGACAACAGTCCTCTGTGTTAGATTACTCCTTGGGTGCATCTTTGGCGCACCGAAAGCCCAGATTCCCAGCGGAACTGTCTTCTGTATTCTGGGATCGTGCTGCACAGCGATATCTGTAGCAATATGACTTGTGGCAGAGATAGGAACCTCCCTTTTTCACTCTGTTGCGATTCTCGGGCTTCTTCTCAGCATCATGAAGTGTCCATAAATCCGCTGTCCACTCCCACACATTCCCAACGATATTAAACAAATCATAGGAGTTTTGATGAAATTGATCAACGGGACAAGTACCGAAGAATCCATCTTTCTCCGTGTTGTCATCAGGAAACTCTCCTTGCCAGATGTTCATCCGGTGCTTGTCCTGCGGCATGAGTTTATCTCCCCATGGGAACAGTCTCTGCTTCTTCCCTCCGCGACAAGCGACTTCCCACTCTGCTTCCGTGGGCAGTCTCTTCTGGCGCCATTCGCAGTAAGTCACAGCATCTCTCCACGACACGTGAATGACTGGGTGATTTGCACGTCCAGTGAGGTCACTTCCCTGGCCCTCAGGATGCCGCCAATTGGCCCCTTTAATCTTGTACCACCACTCAGCGCCCACAACGCGAACATCCTTGTTCTCCTTCTTAGTAGCATCATCCAGAAAGCCCTGGAAGACGAAGCTGTCACCAAACTTCTCCGCTTCCGTTTTGTAGCCTGTTGCGTCAACAAATTCACCGAAATCCTTGTTAGACACCTCGAACTTGTCCAAATAGAAGCTGTCAACGTGGACCTTTTTCTCTGGAGATTCTTTATCTGCTTCAAAAATTGGTTGGTCTGTTCCGATTGTAAAATCTCCCCCGGGAATCAGAGACATTGCTGCATCCTTCGCTTGAGTGACGCCAGAGTCCTTTATGATGATCTTCTCCTGAATTCGGTCACTTGAATCCGTTTGGTAAGGGCCAGAATTGGCCCTCTCCAGGTACTTCTCAGCTGCCTTCTCCCGGTTAGTGGCCCCACAACCACAATCTGCTGACACAAATCTCATGCCATGGGAAAGAAAACAGAGGACTAAGAATACAGGATTGAGGTATGATACTAACATTGTCAACTGTATCGCGTTTTATCACAAAATTCTTAGTTTATCTGCTGAGATTCACTATTTATGACCATCATAAACCCAAGGCAGTTTTTCTATGTTTTTGACATCTTGACATATTGCATTTGAAGTATAACGGATGCAGTGTAAGCTATAATTCTGTTCCAGGAATGCGTGACCGGAAAATCAGATATGATAATCACTAAATTATGATGATATAAGATATATTGCAATATATATATTTGTCAAAAACATCAGAAATTGTGAAATTTTTGCTGGAACACCCAAACATAGATTTTATATGCGCGCATTGGCTGCCCTGTTTGTCGAGTTCTCTCTCTCTTTCTCTCTCTCTCTCTCTCTCGTGTCAAACTGTCAAAAGTGTTGCGAAACGCGGTGGAAAAGTCGTGTTTATTTCCCGTGAAAACTGACCAGAATCCCCTGTGAACGGATAAAATGTTCCAGAGGCTGTTCCAGAAGGTCTTCTGTGCGGATGGCACACCAACACGACCGGCGCTGAGCGGCCAGGAAGGCTCGGGTGAGAAGGGTGGAGAGACCGGCACGCATGGCCTGTCACTGCACAACATTCTGGGGCCCCCGCGCCAGGTGGGCACGCTGGAGGAGCTGCACAAGAAGTGCAAGGAAGTGTTCCCGGCCACATTCGAGGGTGGCAAGGTGATGATCAACAAGGGACTGAGCAATCACTTCCAAATCTCCCACACACTGACCCTCAGCGGCGATCCGGGCAAGACGGGCGTCAGTGGATATCGATTTGGAGCGACTTTCGTGGGCACAAAGCAAGTAAGCCCCACGGAAATGTATCCGGTGTTGCTGGGCGACATTGATCCAGCCGGCAACCTCAATGCCAATGTGATTCATCAGTTGACAAAGCGAATTCGAGGGAAGTTTGCCGCCCAAATTCAAGACAGCCAGGTCAGTGCAGCTCAGATGTCAGCAGAGTATCACGGGCACGATTTTACTGCCTCCATCATCACCGCCAATCCCAACCTGGTCAACGGATCCGGTATCCTCATCGGCCACTACCTTCAGGGCATCACGGACAACATTTCTCTGGGCAGCGAAATTGTATATCAGTTCGGACCAGCGGTGCCGGGTGGAGAAAATGCCATAATCTCCATGGCAGGACGCTACATTCACGGTGACACCACATGGACAGCCACCATGGATTTTACGGGATTGCATTTATGCTATCACTCTCGTGCCAGCGAACAATTGCAGCTGGCCGTCGAGGTGGAGACCAATCTACGGATGCAGGACTCTGTAGCTACGTTCGGCTATCAGGTGGACTTGCCCAAGGCGAATTTGGTGTTCAAGGGCATGGTGGATACCCACGGCACGGTGGCCGGGGTACTGGAGAAGAAATTGGAGCCACTGCCATTCACGTTGGCCCTCAGCGGTGCCCTGAATCACTCCAAAAACCAATTCCGCATGGGATGTGGCATAGTTCTAGGCTAGTCCTCTTCGCCAGCTCCTCCTAGACTTCTGCTTTACAAAATACCAATAAAAGTTACGTTGCGTAGTGGATTTTTGACCTTTTTTCTCTGAAGCATTTTGAGAAATTCCCGGAACTCCCCAGGAATTTGCTACTGAAAGTGTCGAAGAGGGCGCTGAGAAAGGCCTATTCGTATGACGTCGAGCAATCGCGTGCTTTTGTTTACATCGGCTGTGTTGAGATTCCTCATCGACCAAATAGTGTGTGTTGTGGCCAGAATGTCGTTTGCAGAATGGTTGAATCTCATCAGGACAGCAGAGAAAACCTCCATGATTGGGGGAAATCAGAGAAAGATTCACTACACCTTCCTGGACGGTCGTGAAATGGTGGAGGAGTATAGCCTGGAAACAGGAATAATACAAAAGCGAGCTTGGCGTAAGAAAAAGGAACTGCGAGGAGAACCTGACTGGGAGATTGAACTGGGCGACTGTGTCAAGGACTTGAGACTCGGCGGAGAGTTTCTCCTTAAGGAATCCAACACAGAGGTAACCGCAAAGTTGCATTTATGATTGTTATGTTATTCAGGATTTTCTGTCTGAGAATTCATTGATAAAGGAATGTTGAGGGAAAAGTGATCAATTCAATTTTCTTGCCTTGTTCACAGCCAATCCTCACGAAACGAATCACAAAGACAAACATTGAGTGGAGAATCAGGAATTTACCCTATCCTGTGGAAACTTATTCAATTTTGGCAGATTGTGAGAAGAATAGCATCATTGTGCGAACGAGCAACAAGAAATACTTCAAAGTAATACAAGTTCCCGAACTCCAGAGGTGCAATTCTTCTCCGAAACAGGAAAATATTTCCTTCAAGCATCAGCACAACACTCTAATTATTCAGGTATTTGCTTCCGTGCAAGATTTATCGATTAACAAAGTCATGAGTTTATTTACTGTTTTAGTATCAGAAACCCAAGATTCTCTTGGACATGGAGAAGGCAGTGTTGCTGGAGCTGAAAGACGTGGAGACAACTACAGATCTCGATGTGGATTGCGATGAACTTCTTCAACAGCTGATGGGCAAATAAAGACGAATAGAAAGGCGTGACAAGTACAATAATTACTTTCTTTTATTAAAGAGGCCCATTGTGTATTTTTCAACAAAAATACATCTCTCCTATAAACATCAGATGTGAGTATGATATAGACGTTCCCAAATTGATGGCTGGGAAAACCATTAATAACTTGTGACTCCAATACACGATTCCCCATTGAACGCGAGTCCAGGGAAAAGTTGAATTTTCTCTTAGAACTATGATTTCTCTTACATATGGTGGGCTTCTAATTACTCCAATGCTCTGTCCAATAGTGGGAAGTTACATTGGCACATTAAATCATGGATTGGATGTCACACACTTTTTAGCACATTAAATTAATACTTTTTTTCTTGTTCCTAGGTTAGAGCAAATCTCTACATAGACATGTAGGAGTTGAAAGAAGACTTACGAATAGAGAGACATTTTTTCTCTTAACAACTATTGCGTTAAATGGGGCATCTCATTGATTACAAATGTTACATGAGTGAAATTAACAGAATTAACAACTTGCAAGGAAAGTGACAGAAACAAATAGAAAATTTTCTTTCTAACTAACACAACATCCAGTGATAAACAGTAAAGGAGACATTAAAAAACGATCAATTTCGCAAAACTTCTATGTAAATATCTATCATTAAGCTGCACTGAAGGCACATAATTTAATTTTTCAATACAATTTAGAAAGACTAATAAAAAATTGAGTGAAAAATGAAAATTTTAAAGACACAAAGGACAAAGATCATATCTTATCACCCAATAATTTGATTTTATTAATACCATTTTGTCAGTTCTGCATTTTCTTTACATTCACGCTAAACATTGACTTACTCACATAATGTAATATTGGAAATCAATAATTTAATTTAAATGTACTTTTTCGCTTCTCTTCTCAAATTCCATTATAAACTCTCTAACAGAGTTTCATGAAGTTGCTATGTTTCTCAATAGAATTTCAATTCATGAACGGTTTGCTAAAGGGCTTGTAAGTTCCAAGAGACACTCATTACTACACAGATTAATAATAATGAAGATAGTTTAGCTCTTTCCTATATTGACGTAACTACATATAATTGATTGGAATTGAAATGCATTTGGAATGCAGAAATAGGCAAAAGAATTTAAAATTATAGTATAAACTAGTTATAGATACAAAACTTCATCATTGTGAATAGTAACTGAAGTTTCGTTTTGATTAGTCAAATATTCTTCACCTGAGAGGAATTTCTCATCATAATTATTTGATATAAAACTTCTTTTCTGGCCATTCAATGGATTTCAAAGTAACTTTATAATTAAGTTGTCAACAATAAATTTTGCAAATAGCACGATTGAGAGATTGGATAACAGAATTGGGATGTTTGCGATCAATGAGGTGCCCCTTGGCCAGAGTTAATTCGCAAGAGCCCCAACGGCGATTAATCGAGGCGACTGCGGTCACTGCTGGGGCACTTCGTCGTCCCCGGCAGTCTCGTCCAGGGAGTGCAGCCAGTTAAAAATCATCATGTTGCGTTCGTACTTGGACAGCGGCTTGCCGCGGTCTCGCTCGATATCGTACATGGTGATGTTGCGATTGAGATTGATCTGGATCTTGCGTTTCAGCTGTGGACACGCTAGTTGGTTCACCGTTTGGTTCTCATCGTCTGCGATGGTGACCGTGGGACAGATGGGCTGGCGGAGCGGTGGCACGATGAGCTCCGTGGGTCCAGGGCCGGCGGACACGGTGGCCGCGGCGGCTACAGCCTCGAGGCGGTCCAGGTTGAATTCACTCTGCGAGAGACGCTCCAGGGCGCGATAGGTGGTGAGCAGGCGGCGACGGATGTAGTTCTGGCGCACTTTCTTGTTCACGGAGCGAATGAGATCGGCGGCCGTAAAGGCAGGTGGCGGCGGCGTGTTGGCTGCGAGTGAGGGAAGCGTATTGGCGTGACCACCATGGGGCGACGGCAGTTGAGACGTGGACGCCAGCTCGCCGACAGCCACCCACGTGGAACAGGAGCGGGATGTGTGTTCCAGACGAGGGTGGTCTAGAATGTAACCACAGCGCTGAAGGGAGTTGAGCGCCAGTTCGGACACGGCATAAGTGTGCCGAAGATGGTTCGTGTGAGATTCTGGGAGTGGCAGCTGGGCGATGTCGCTCGTGCTGAAGGACTTCTGCATGCCCAATGCGGAGGAGAGGGCAGCACAGCTGCGGATGAGATCATTTCCCTCTTCGAACCACATCACTTCTGGAATGTCGGCAGGTCTGGCAAAGATCAGAGATCTGGAATCATGAGGACTGAAGAGGCTTTCACAAGCACAAAATAGTGATGCACTAAATGTGATTTGAGTGCAAATTTAATTTTATATGCTAAATTTTTCATCCTACTCTTCATCTTTTTCGACTCAAATTTGAGGATTAAAATAGCCCATTTTCCCCTATGATGAAAAAATCACTGGATATAAAATGTATTTTAAAATCAATACTCCCTCAATTTTTCTCTTCCGCAGAAACATAAAAATCTCTACTCACGCTATCTGTTTACCACATAACGGAGATTTTTCATCTGAACAAATGTATATATTCACTTTCTCTTCCTCTCTTCTCATCATGACTGTGTTTTATGCTTCCCTTTTCTCCCCTTTCTCCCTTTCCCCAATCTGCCAGAGTTCTTATCTACATAGCTATTGTTTGCCAGATGGACTCTCTAGGGGTAGAGTGGGAGTCTCACCTGCCAGAGTGTCTATGATTGTCCGGATTAGGGCTGGATCCCCGGTGCTCTGTAGGCCTGAGTCCTCCTGTGAGGCGGTGTCTGGCTCCGGGCACGACTTCGCTGCCGGTGGCAGAGGAGACTGAAAACAGGGACAAATCTGTGGTCACGCTCTCGTGTGAGGGCGAACGCAGCATCCGTGTGACGGTGAGGACGGGCGTCGCGGGAGCTGTAGAGCGCGGAGTGGTCATGCTTGCAGTCTTTCTACAGTTTCAGAACCATAGCACTGGAATTGAGCACTGAAACTCGCCCTTAGGGCCCCTCTAAAAATAGCTCAAAAGTCTTTCACCTCCGCCCGGACAGCCCGGACTGTTTTCCAAACTCGAGGCACTAAATTTCCGGACACTACTTAACTAGAAGCCTGGGATCAGAGTGGCTGATCCGGTTGGCTAAGGAGTGTGTTCAGAGACAGCAGTTGAGACTGCAGGAGAGATGCGAGACTCGAGGAGGGCGTGTAGGTGGAACAAATTGTGTGACACTGAATGCCTTCTCGATCGATATCAATATGCCAAGGGGAAATGCTATTTTCACCTCCACATAGGAAAATTCTTGTACTCTCTCCTGCACTCTCTCTCATTTCCACGCATTTCTCTTGCGCTCCTCTCGCGCCCGCTGAGTTATGAGTGGTGTTTTGGAATGTTCATTGAGGAAAAGTCAAGGCAGCGCCGGGCGGAAAATTATGTCTGACAATGGGGGCTCCGCGACTTTATTTCTGGCCATTAGAGCCACGCAATAGTGTCTGGCATTTTTAGAATTCACTAAACGCCAATATTTTATATCTCTATCGTTTGCCCGTCATATGGAAACAATTGTACATGCATAATATACATACTTCGAATGTATGTTCAAAGCAGAGAAAATTGCAAGAAAGGGTCTCATACTTTCTCCACTTAGATGTGAAAATTCTATGTAGTTTGTTTGGACATTACTATTTAAAAAAAAAAAGGTAAAAAGAAGTCGGGAGGAGCGGGAAAATGAATTGAAAAAGGCCTATTTGGTGGGGTTGCCATATGACAATATGCTGTTGGCAGCCCTGCTTATGGACGTCAAAAAAATCCCAGAATCCGACTCGGTCGCACGTGAAGAATAGTGGCGGAGAAAATCGCATTTTGCGCTGAAATATTTACATTACTGGTGAAAAAGTTGTGAAAAATGTTGACTGCAGCTCGAGCTATGTCGAAATTCACACTGGACAACGGTCCAAGTGTAGTGAGGAGATCATATTCGACGATTATGAGAAATGTGAGTATTGTGCGTATTGCGTCTTATTGGAGTGCGACAAAGGGGCCCTTCCGGATGATTTGGAGTAAATTTCCATGACAGAAGAAGCACTCTGCTAATATTTGTGGGAAATTGACGGGAGAAGATGGAAAATTGAAAGAAAATCGCAGAAAAGTGATAGTTTTCTGGGGATGACGAAATGCTGCAAAGTCGTGAGGAAATTCGTGGGATGTTTGTGAGATTTCTGAAGTAATTGGGCCAAAAATACCATGAAATTTGGTTTAAAAGGTGAGGTAATTAACATATTTTCTTGTATTTCCAGCAAATATCTCCTTCGCTGGTCAACTATCAGAACAAATACGGACAAATTCGGCATAAGTAAGCATACTGTTCTTTTCGTCTTGTCTTTTGATCATTTTGTCTTCATAATTATCTCTTTTATTGCCTTTATTTAGTAGTTTTTCGTGCACTTTATTTGTCGCAATGCGATATGAGTTGTCTTTGGCGGCTTCTCTATTATTCCATGTTAAATCGAGATGTTTCTCGAACTTTTCCTGAACTTACATAATCACACATAACCTCACTAGCTGGATCCACGATGAATAGAAGTTCCTTTTGCAGGTCAGAAGGCGTGAAAGGTGCCGTGATTGGCATTGATCTGGGCACAACTAACTCCTGCGTGGCCGTAATGGAAGGCAAACAGGCAAAGGTGATTGAGAATGCTGAGGGAAATCGCACGACGCCGTCTCATGTGGCTTTCACGAAAGAGGGAGAGCGTCTTGTGGGTATGCCGGCAAAGCGTCAGGCCGTGACAAACTCCGCTAATACATTTTACGCCACGAAGCGTCTTATTGGGCGTCGCTTTGATGATCCGGAGGTGAAGAAGGACATGAAAAACCTCTCCTACAAGGTGGTGAAAGCCTCCAATGGCGATGGATGGGTGCAAGGCAGCGATGGCAAAGTATACTCACCCAGTCAGATTGGTGCATTCATCCTCATGAAGATGAAGGAGACAGCTGAAGCATACTTGAATACACCAGTGAAGAATGCCGTCATCACTGTTCCGGCTTACTTCAACGACTCTCAGCGGCAAGCTACCAAGGATGCCGGTCAGATTTCTGGTTTAAATGTCCTGAGAGTGATCAATGAACCTACAGCAGCCGCTCTAGCATACGGAATGGACAAGACGGAGGACAAAATCATTGCTGTTTATGATTTGGGTGGTGGAACCTTCGATATTTCCATCCTGGAGATCCAGAAAGGCGTGTTCGAGGTGAAGTCCACAAATGGAGACACCCTTCTTGGCGGTGAGGATTTTGACAACACTCTGGTGAATTTCCTGGTGACGGAGTTCAAGAAGGATCAAGGACTGGACATCACCAAGGACCCAATGGCCATGCAGAGGCTGAAGGAAGCGGCAGAGAAGGCAAAGATTGAACTGTCGTCCTCTCTTCAGACAGACATCAACCTTCCCTATCTCACCATGGACTCATCCGGACCTAAGCATATGAACTTGAAGCTGTCGCGATCGAAGCTGGAGAGTCTCGTGGGAGATCTCATCAAGCGCACCATTTCACCCTGCCAGAAGGCACTGTCGGACGCTGAGGTGGCCAAGTCGGACATAGGCGAGGTGCTGCTTGTGGGCGGAATGACGCGAATGCCAAAGGTTCAGTCCACAGTGCAGGACATCTTTGGCCGGCAGCCCTCGCGAGCTGTGAATCCGGACGAGGCAGTGGCCGTGGGAGCTGCTGTTCAGGGTGGTGTTCTCGCTGGTGATGTGACAGATGTTCTGCTCCTGGATGTGACACCTCTGTCTCTGGGCATTGAGACTCTGGGTGGTGTCTTCACGCGCCTCATTTCCCGCAACACAACCATTCCAACGAAGAAATCTCAAGTATTCTCCACGGCGGCCGATGGACAGACACAGGTGGAGATCAAGGTACACCAGGGAGAGCGAGAGATGGCGTCTGACAACAAAATGCTGGGTGCATTTAGTTTGGTAGGAATTCCACCAGCTCCCCGAGGCGTTCCCCAGATCGAGGTGGTGTTTGACATCGATGCCAATGGAATAGTTCACGTGTCTGCCAGAGATAAGGGAACCGGCAAAGAGCAGCAAAGTGAGTTTTGTAGTAAGAGTAACATTTTAGCATGAGGTTTTCTTATCATCACGTCTTTTTCAGTTGTCATCCAATCTTCCGGTGGTTTGAGCAAGGATGAGATTGAAAACATGGTGAAGAATGCGGAACAATACGCACAGGCGGACAAGGTGAAGAGGGATCGCGTGGAGGCCATCAATCAAGCGGAGGGAATTGTGCACGACACGGAAACAAAGATGGAGGAGTTCAAGGATCAATTGCCCAAAGAAGAGTGTGACAAATTGCGTGAGGAGATCACAAAAGTCCGTGAGATGTTGGCCAACAAGGACAGTGCTGATCCGGAGGAGATCCGCAAGTGCACCGGAAATCTGCAACAAGCGTCTCTCAAGCTCTTTGAAATGGCTTACAAGAAGGTCAGATCGACTTGTTAGAGTGAGTGGAAATTCCATTTTCATAATACCAATTTCTTTTTAACTTGCAGATGGCTTCTGAGCGGGAAAGCAGCAGTAGTTCACAGAACCAGGATCAGCAGCAGCAGCAATCCAGTGACGAACAGAAGGAGAAGAGAGAGAATTAGATTATAAATTAAGGCAGTATATTGGAATATGTAATTCTTACATCCCGAATTGATTTATGACTTTTTTCATGAGAATTTCATCTTTAGCGAAAACTATGTTTCTGAACAATTGAAAAAGAAAACACTTAAATATACACTTTCCTTTAGCCATACATAGATTTAACTGGGAGATCTGCCTGTTTCTATTGTAATGGTCCCAGCTAATGAAGTTGATTTGTACAAAAAGTGTGAAGGGGAGAACGTGGGAATAGACAAGAGAGTTGAAAGGAATTTTAGGGCTCTTTTCTTAATAATATAAGTTCTATTCGCAATTGAACCAAAAACTGGCATGTCACCCTGTAATGATTCAAGTGCGTGACTCGAGAGGCGCTGCGTTTGGCCGGAAAAATGTCAGCGCCGCCTGCGGAGTGTCAAAACAAAATAACCTATTGTGGGTGAAAATTTTGCAAATTGCTATTTTCTGCACATCGTCTTGAGAATTCTTGCCCATTGCTAACAATGGTCGTTCCACAGAAGTAACTGATCCTTTCTGAGGCGCTTGTTTGTGTGTAAAATGTCCATATTGTGTGTGTAAACAATCATCCCGACATCACGCCGACTGAAAGTTCGTCTGCGCTGTTTTTCACGCAAAATTTGGTAATGTATTGCTTTTATTTCTGGAAAAATATAATTTTACATATTTATAGCACTTCTATAAGCAATTTCTATCGAAATCATATATTTCGGGAGTGATGAAAAGTGGTTTTTGCATGGGTAACAAACTACCTTACGGACAGACTCCCTTCGTCCGGGAAAGAGGTGCTCATTCATGAAAATGCTCCGGAATTCATTGAAGGAGTAAGACAAAAGAACTGCTGATGCATTGAACTACGATATGAGCAAAAATTAAATCTCCACCATTAACGGTTAGACTGGCCTACCGTTAGCTCTTTGCTTCTGTATTTTGCGTGTACTTTTGCAGTCATAGTCCATGAGGCGAAGAGTTTGGCCGCCGAAAATGCGCATCGATCGCAATGGGGAGGCGAGACAGGCACACGCCAAGTGTCGGTGATGCATCAAGTTATCATACAATTTGCACGATTTGCCTGACAGTCACCTGCCACATGGATTGTGGCATAATTTACCGAGAAAGTGCCAGAGAATGTTGTTCATTCATTTAGCCAGTGATTGGATATTGTCTTGTCAGGGCGGCATCGCCTTCCTGTCCACTCCAGCATGTTTTTCCCTTGTCCACCTCTTTGGCCACTTCCAATTAGATAGCCATCTAATCGCATCCTGAGCCACCTCGAGAGAGTATAACAACAACGTCACATGCAATGCACTCTTCTCCGGGGCGGGTGTGAAGACAATTTTGCGAGGTGACGCTCAGACCATTGATATGCGCCGTGTGCATGTTCATCCATAGGGATATTCCCTGTAGTGACTCTTGGTGAACCACTCCAGCGCAGAGATTCTCAACATTTCACAACATCTATCTTGTTTATTCATAGGCTCCTTCGGTGCTAAATCCATTCAAACTAAGACCTAAACATGATAACTCGATCCAGAGTCAAATTTACTTTTTTATTATTTCGTCTATTTTAAGGAGAGTTTACACCGGATTATAAATCTGAATGCAGCTAGATTTCTCCTTAATAAAAAAGGTTCTTTAAAAATCAGTTTTATCTACGAATTACATTATTTTTCATGAATACTCGTGTCACTGAAGTTCGAAAGTTCACTGAACTATTAAATTTCTTAAATGAAGCATTAATTTTCCGTTGTTGAATGTTCAACTAAAAGTGTAGTTGAAACTGAAATCTAATGTTTTAGTTTTTGTGTTTGATTATTTTGAACTTTCGATTGTATATTCGAACTCCTCCATCAAAATCAAATTTTAGAGCAGAATTTTTGGTCAAAAATGTCACTTAGAAATGTGTATATTTTACAATGATATGTTTGGACAAATTGCAGAGATTTCTTATGATTCTTGCAGGCAGTCAATAAGTGCACGAAAGGCACCTAGGGGTATTTTTCGCTTAATTGGACAATTTGAAGGCTGTGCTGTGCTTTGGCGGCCAAATGAGCCATAAAAGCAGCAATCACAGTTTGAAAATCACTGAGAGTGGGAATATATGGAGTTAAGAGGTGCATGCGAATAATTCTGTGATTGCATCTTTCCACCTGGAATCCACTCTAGGAGTGTGTGTATGTTATGTGCCTGGGTGAGCGCTGGCATGTGCATCCCAGCGCAGAGATGCTGTGAGTGAGATGGAATAATAAATCTACAAATTGGAGCCCTGAACCATTCCTCCAGATTTTCCTTTCCATAAAATGATATTGTCGCTTTCGTATCTCGGGTGTTCTTCTGGGTTTTTGGGTGGGCACGGAGGGAGGGTTCAATTAGCCTCTCGAAACCTGCCAAGTTGAACACATCCCTTCTCACTCAGTTGCATGTGCACTCAGGATGAGATTATAACATTGGGTGCAACTCCTCTCTAGTCCACCCTTTCAATCTCCGCACACTTGTCTCTTGCCGAAGCTTGGGTGCTCATGTTGTTCTCTCATGTCACTCCACCGGCGCATCCATTCTCCACACAGAATCCTCCAAAGGCCGCCCCAATGTGTTGGTGGACCCACTATGTACTTCCTCTTTTCCGCTTTTCACTCGTACTGCCTCTCTTTTTCACGTTCACTTCCTACGCTGCAATCCCTGGTCTCTCCATCCTACTCTACGTGCTCCAATGTGGTGCGATTCGAGAACTCACGGGGCAAAGTTTTGCACTCAGTGAGCAAAAATGTTGAAAGTCCTGTTAAAGACTATTTCTCTAAGATAGACCGAATTAGGGAATCCTGAGAAAAAAAAATGTTCTGACGTCAAGAATAGATTTTACTTAATACAATGATTATTAATTGCTTATATTAAATTACTCTCACAAGTTGATTTTTTTCCTTAATTCTTCTGATACAAAGATCTAAATGGTTTTACTCCGTTTCATCCTTGAAATACATATGTTATCACAAGTACAGTATTATTTTGGGTGTGTTTTCTGTTTTTGGACCAGCATAAGAGTGTTTCTGTACCACTGCGAATTGCTCTGACGTGTATATTTTTGCTATGTACAAATGCTCTTCTCCTGCCCATTCCACCTTTAGTATGTATATCCACGTCGTCATCATCGTGAGATGATAGTCATCGTCAGAATCATCATTTATAGCGGACTTTTGGGTTGGGAGAGATGAAGGGGGAGCAAAAGAGCCACCCACCACCACTGAGTTATCGATTTTTTGCATTGTCGCAATGTGAGAATTTTCAATGATTCTTTACAATGTTTTTTTTTATCTCTACAACACGATATTGAATAATTTCTGTGTGACTCTGCTGGAATTTTTACTTTTCAAAATTTGGGATATGTTGATGCGAGAATTTTCACTATTTTTTCGACTTCAAGACTTCCTCAACACCACATTGGTTTCAACATTCAAATGACCCTGTGGTGTGGACGTTACTAATCACCACTCTTCCCGCCAAAAGTGGCCAAAAACCTGTTTCATTGATCTCTACATTGCCTCAGCTTCACTCGCTTCACTTGCCAACTGTCCATGGTGGCGTCTTCAAGATCGAGCCTCGCGCGTTGCCTTTCTTTTGCTCTTTAAACGTCTCTCTGGCGATTTTTTTTATTGTACCTCTTCAAATTCGACAGTATGCAAATAGTTTATTTTTGGGAGTTGTCAGTTTTTTCTGCGTTGGCACAAGCATCATGGTGAGGATGAATGTGAGAGTGGGTGTAGGGAGGTTTTTGGTTTATTGCGAGTCTGGGTATTTGGTGCCAATCAATGGGGATGAATTTAGTTGTTTCATGCATTCACTGGCTAAATGAATTTTCAGCAAGAGACAGGAGATTTCATTGGTAATTTCCTGAGTTTGCCTCTAGAATTAAAATAAAAATCAATGCAATAATCTCTACTCTTATACCTTTTCGTATATATATGTATATCCAGAGTTCTATGTGCACAATAATGCTCGACACACACCACACTAATACAGGATTATGTGCCCAATGAGAAGTACATAGAATGATTTTATGTACGGCGAGCATCAGCATGGAGTGGTTTTATATTGAATTGAATGCACACATGCGCAATTTGTCGTCTATATTTGATGCGCCTCTTATAAAATTATTATACACTACGTGTGCGCCGTGCACATAGAGTTGGCCATACTGCGCCCCAAGTATAGGTATAATGAAATACATAATTTATGCCAGTAAATAGCAGAAAATGAGTATACAGGGATGACTAGCGTTTTATTTACATATACATGGACTTTTTCTGTAAAAAAAATTCCCCAAACTCCCGGTGAGTCTCTTTCGGGGAGCGGATTTGTCGAGATGATGAGATGGCTATGTTCTCTGTGATCAGAAGCACTTTGCTTGAACCGTTGCTACCCTTAAAGCTTCTGTATCATCGCCTTAAAGACGATCACTTCACTGAAATTTATTTTCTTTTTATATTGAACACAATAGGTAAGTATAGCATAGGAATGTGGCAAATTGCCGAAATATAAAATAAAGAGTAGAACAGAATCTATTCAACAGTTCATGAGTTCCTATAGAAGCCAATATTGCGTTCACTATGTTATTCTTCAATCCCTAAAGTAAGAAAAGTATAAGAGACTTTTGATAAGCATTTATGCCTAGATTTACACGTTGTTCTAACACGAATTTTCTTTAAAATAAAATTGAAAAATAGTCTTTAAACATACATTTTTGATAAAATATAACTCGACTGAGATCTCAGTGAGGTTACCTGACTTTTCTCGCATGAGCAAAAGCGTCGTGCTTTCAATATTTGATCGCAAAGCATCGTGTATATGGATTTGTGGGCGCTCACGTGTGTGCGTGTAGATGTTCTGGCGGCATGTATGCCGCTTTCGCACAGAATGCTTCATATGTGTGCACCTCTGATGAGGTGCAATAAAAGTAAATACTCACCTCACACCAAGTCGTCGTTCGCAGAATTGCAGTGAATATGTACACATAGAAGAGCAAATTTAATTTTTTATTTCTCCTCTAATTAAATATTGCATTATGTGTAGAGAGATTGAAATTTACTATATTTGAAACATAGGACTCTGGGTGTGGGATGCATAATCACGTTAGAAGGTGATTCTGTGACGAACAGAAGCGAGCATTGGACGCTGGAGAGACTCTTTTTTGTGCATTTTGAACGTATGATGCGTATGGTGTGGCTGGGTGTGTTTTATTTGCGCAAAAAATGCTGAAATGGTGAAAATGTTCAGACGAGTGGAGAAAACGCGGCGTTTTTGGGGAGCTCGCTTAGCGGATTGATAGTGAGGGCGAAGGCTTGATCTAGTCACCGGCCGGAGCGCTGCATGTTCAAATGTAAACGAGTATTGACATTTCGCATTCGGGTGGCAATCGGTGAATGTGGACGCCGTGAAACAGTGTTTCGGCTGACATGCCCGTGCTCAGAAGTAGCGACTCACACTGTCCCGAAAGAATCAAATATTGTCATGGCGTCGTCGTGGAGTTGTGTGTCTGATGATGAAAAAGACATCGCAGGAGAAGCGTTGGCCGTGTGAACAGTTGTGAAGGGATATTTTGTGAAAAAACGACACAATTTGTGTTCTGTGTCGGTTCTATGTGTATTTTAACATCAAAAATAGTCGTGAAAGTGGAAAAAAGTCGTGGTTTCTAGTTAATGTTTGGAGTTCCGCCCCTGTACAATTTTGCCTCTTCGATTGTTGCCCACCGGCAGTGAAAATTTTTCGTGTGTTTTCCACGAAAGGAGTGAATTTGAGAGATCAGACTTTGTGCAATTGACGAGAACACAATATATTTGGAAGTTTGAGGATGACAAGAAGGGAAAAATCATAAAAATCTACAGGGATCATTGTTGTATGAAACGTAGTGCGTGCGGGAAAAAATTACCTGAAATAGCTTGGAAAAGAGGAAGAGTGTGAAGAAATTACTACCAAAAACGTCTTTTTGGTTACCAATTTTTTTTTATTTGTGCACCAACAACTTACACATACCAGTACCGAGATTCAGTGTTAAGAAAATCCCTTGTGAATAAATTCAGACGGCAAAGCAGAAATTCAAAATTATCGGCACTAACTGAGAAAAGATTTATGAAAAGTTCAATGTATGTAGTTACTGGGCAGAAAAACCTAATCAATCACAACGGGAAAAGTTAGACGAGGTTCAAATATGCAATGAATTGATAAAGAATTGTGGCACTAACTGCGTGCACATAAAATTGTTCAACCAAAATCCGCCTGACGGAGAAGTTGTATGTGGTGTGAAGAGACATTTAGTTTTGGGCAAACGATAAAAATCGATGGAAGTATTGTGCATGACATATCAGTATCCGGTTGCTGCGAACCGGCCAATTGACATTGGATATAAACAGGACAGTGAAAATCCAAAGTGGTCACCGCACACTTGTCCAATATGAATTCGGTGTGCCAGGGTGAAATGTCAGTTGAAAATTAAATGGCAATTGCATGAGGAAAAATATTGAGGACTGGACGGAGAAGTGATCTCAAGAAAAAAAAGGAAAGCAAAAAATAGTTGGTGTTGAATCTGAAGCAAGACGTATTCGAATGTGTCTGATAGTGTTCAAGTGTGTGTATGTGCAAGAGTAGATTATGTGAAAACGGTCGAAAAGTGTTCTTTTTGCACCGTCTCTCAAAATTGTCTTGTAAACTATTTAATCGTTCATCACGGATTACTTAAAAACGTTCCCGCAAAGGAGGACCTCTTCTCCGCTCTTTCTCAATACACCTGAGAAAGGAATGATAGGTTAGAGAAAGTCACATCCAATCCATACATTATATTGTCAAATACATTTTTCAAGAAAAAAGAAACAGAATATAAAAAAAGCGTGGAATGAACACCACACATTTCGCACTCTTCCACCTGTTTCAATGCAAAGACAAATTCTCTGTACTCGTCCAAACTGGAGAGTGGCTGAATGTCTTTGAGTGAACCAGAGCAGGTTTCCTTTAAAAAAAAATCTATTGTATATAGCAAATAATATTTTTGGATAGGTAATACTTATCAACATACTGATAAAATTCGGTGTTCTGTAACATCCGAGGTCTTCTTAATTGGACCAAAGCGGAAAATTCAATAGCGAATTAAGAGTTTTGTTTTATTTATTTCTTATGAAAATACTCAGAGAATCCAATAGTAAATTTTGGTATAATTTCGATTGAAGCAATCGTTGGCTAGAGTGCTCATTTCACGTGTTTTATTTGCTATCAGCAAGCACTAAGGAATGTTTGTAAATATTATCATTAATCGATAGCACATGAGGAGGGATTTCGTCTATGTGTTACTTATATTTTGTCTATACGTAAGACTTTAGAAATGCTATAAGTAATTTATTGAATTTCTCCAACATAATAAAATATGCGTTATTCCTGCTTTTGATGAAGTTGATATTTTAAAAACAAAAAAAGCAAATTCTCTTATACTAGTATATCTAGGTTGGACTAAGAAGTAATGATGTCCTTATTGTGTAATATTGCAGGCTTGAGCCGTCGCGGGGCTGCTGGGCCGCCATTGAGTTTGCCTAGCACGCTGGAGGACTCTGGGGCGACGTGGAAAGGAGCACCCCCAGGTCCAGAAACCCAGACATCCGGATCTGGGGGTGGTTTCACCCCGTCCGGTCCTAATTCATTCACTGGTCCCGTATCGGTGTTTCCTTCTGCGGGCCAGGGCTCTCCTGCTGGCGGAGGAGGAGGCGGCGGTGGCGGTGGTGCTGGTAGCGCTGGTGGTGGTGGTCAGTCAGTTGGCGGTTATCAGGGTCCTCCACCCGGCTCCAACACGCCTCAATACACAGCATCACCGGCACCCTCAGGCTCTTCCACCCCAGGTCCAGGACCACCACAGAATGTCAGTGGGGCTGGCTTCCCACCACCACCCAATTCCGCAGGTCCACCATACAATGGTCCAGGTCCTGGACCGGGTGGGCCATTTGGGTCCCCGTCGGCGGGTGGACCGCAGTACGGCAGGCCGGGTAGTTCGGGACCGGCGTTTGGAGGCGGACCACACTTCGCCTCACCAGGTGGACCTGGTGGCTTCGGTGGACCACCACAGTTTGGCATGCCGCCCGGATCACCGTTCGGTCATGGTCCTGGTCATCCCATTGGACCCATGGGACCTGGACATATGATGGGTGGACCTCAACCTGTTGACCGGATTGATCAAGGGTAAGCTATATTTTTTCAAACTTCTTTCCTTTTGCTGCACTCTTATGAAATCAATGATCGATTATGTCGGGGAAGTTGGAGGTAGTTTTTTTGATTTTTTTTCCACGGTGTAACCAAACTACCTAGGTCTACAGAAAGGTGTTTGGGGTGAGAAAGAGTGGCACTTCTTGGCATTGTCTCTTTCTATGGGATAGAGAGTGCAATTTGGCCATTGCCGCGTTGCTTAGGATGAGTAGAATGTGCGAGAGTGTGAAGAGATGTTGAGTCTCTCTTTTTCTCTCTCCGAGGAAGATTGAGCGTACACGGTGAGAGGGGCGTACATAGAGAGAGTGTGAGTGAGGAGAGAGAAGAGGTAGCATCGCAGAAGAGAGACAGAAGATTCTCGGGGAAGGTGTGGGAGCGGGAGAGAGCACAGACACGAAAATATAAGGAGCAACAAAAAAGCAGCCAGAAAAACGACATGAAACACAGAGGAAAAAAGAAAAAAAAGAGAGGAAAGAGAAAAAACTCAATTCACATGTATATATGTACATCTTTCGTGAAGTTGGAAGTTGAACTTTTCTTTTTTCTGCTGTTTCTTTCTGTGCGCTTGTCGCTCTAGCGCGAGAGAGTGTACTTTATTTATTACGTTATCACAAGGCAAGGTACTCTCTATACCACGTAGCATAAGCCTCACACATACCCTTACATGGGGGAACTCGCCGAGTCTCTTATGTGGTGCTACGTAACAATGTACAACACATTTATATCGTGGATACCACACGGAGGGAACCGTAGTCGTCGTTTTATTGAATTTATTGCGTCGTCTTTTCCTCTCTCTCTCGCTCTCTCACTTCATGATGCGTTCATCTCTGTTGCACTTGGGTGTTTGACTATCGCGCGCGAGGTGGTGTGAAAGAGAGTGTGTATGTTTTGTTGAATATTGAGACTTCCATGATTCTCTGGGAGTTTTATAGCGTATTTGGTGTGCATATGGAATGTATAGAAGTAGATATAGATATTGTATATTATTCTGTATATACACATAGGCTATATACAGTGTGGTGTGTGCAGAAGGAAATAAACGCCAAGTGCCTCCGAATATACTACCTCACGTACACACTGAAGCTCGTTATACGCTTGATGGCGCTGAGAGTTGAGTGCGATAAGGAGGGACTGAGCGATTGCATGAGGGCCACAGATGGCGACGAGTGAGATGGCTAGAGCGTGGATATAAGAGTAATATCTATGGCTATATATATAATGGCACTATGTATATATATATATATATATATATATATATATATATATATATATATATAGACGTCAGAGATAGAGTCACACGGGATACAGAGTCAGGGGGTGACGACGACGAGATGTAAAAACAAACCCTATATTCTCTGTTTTTATAAAACTCTTATTGATCTTGCACTGTTTTTGCGAGACTGTTTCACTCGTTTGTTGGTTGGTTGACTGCTCTCTGTCTCTCTTTCGCGTGACTTTTTTCTCTTCTTTCCCTTGAATTCTTGATACTTTTTTGCCATGGTTTTTTGGTAGCTGGACCTCTTTAAATAACAAGAAGTGAAGAAACGAAGAAGAATGACGAGGGAGAGAGAGGGAAAATGAAAGAAAATCAAACAGTGTGAAGAAGTAGCTGAACGCTGTATGAAAATTACAATGAACTCAGAGGAGAGAGATAGGTAATGTGAGGTGTATGTAGGATTCAAGGTTAGTCGCCAGGAAGTTGAGCAAAAGTTTCACGGAGAGTCTTTCGTTTAGCGCATGAGGGATTTCTATGGGCAGGAGGGTGAAAAAGACATATTGAGAGAGAGGGGGAAAAAGTTCACTTGTAGAACTAAAAATAAAATACGGGTCATAAAATTGGGAGAGAGACAGTCATTTGGGTATGCAACTGAATGTTTCCAAGATGTCTGTCCTCCTTGATAGAGTCTCTTTGCCAGATGCAATTTTACACCGCTGAGTGTGTGAGGAGAATACAAGAGAATGTCGAGTGGATGAGGGCATGCTAGAAAAAGTTGATCATTTGGAACAGAATTGAAATGGCTATTTTTAGGGTAATTTGTGGTGTGTAAATATCTGGGAATCGCATGTTGAGATCACGGAAGTGATTGAATTTTTAGTGAGACGTATCCTCATGCTTATTCCAATGATTTTTTCTATTAATAGCAATGACCTACAAATAAAGTTAATAATCTCTTGCGTACGACAATACAAGCGAAGAGGTTTCACGGGAGAATTCCTATAGTACCCATAGAGGTACGTAAATTTTCCTTCTGCACACACATATGTGAAAATATGTATGTGCAAAAATTTATTTCCATTTGGTATTCTCCAAAAGTCTCAACTTTTTCTTCCGTCTCCACAACCTTCATACGTTATTTACCGATACTATAAATTCTATATGAGAAGGTGATAAACATTTGAGGATTTCAGGGATTGTGTAGCATTTGAGAATGGAGAAGGAGAGGGAGATAGTGGAGCACAGGAGGGAAAAAGAAACAGGAAATATGTGTATTGCGGTCACAACACATCATGATTGGTATCTATGGAATTTGAAAGGAATTCTATGGGATATTTGCGCCACTTTATAGTAACAAAAGGGTGTAATGGAAGTTATGTCTTGTACAATCATCTTTGAACTTCATCACTTTTTTCTCCTTCCGTTTCTGCGATTTTGCGCTGGTGTCGGCAAAAATAAAATGTGTGTATCTTCTTTTTCGTAAAAGTTCGTTATACTGTACATTCGAAATGTTATTTGAAATCTCGGTCAGTAAACACTTTCTTTAATACTATAAACCGCACAATGCACAGAGAGAAAATTGAAGACAATTTCTCTCACTTGAACGGGTGGAAGTAGATTTGTGAAACACAAAATTTAATAGTTTCTCGAAAAGGTGGAAGCGACGGGTGGGTGTGGGGAAAACCACTGGCGACGTACAGTCACGTACATTTCACATTTCAGCCTGTATAAATGAATGTTGGACGAAATAATATTGTATTGTAAGATTTTGTGTGATGATCTGGATTTCGAGTGATCCAAATCGAAAATAAAAAACAATTTCGATGAGATTTCATTTCAATTGTCTGGAAATACGATCATAAAAAAAAAACATATAGATTCTTTTGATCCTTTCTCCACGCCGTCATAGTGTTGCGAAGTGTCTATAAGCCCAGTAGCATTCACTTGATGATACTTGACGAAATATGATGAAACTTCCATTTCAACACACAATACTCAATATTGCATAACCTATGTATAAAGGATATTATGTAGTGAGAACAATGCGATTAAAACATTTTGAAAGTTTGTAAGCACTGATCAATAGCATTTGAATCACCTTTGATGTTGAGAAGATCGCGTCTTGAGTTTACCTAGTGAAAATGATTGAAATTGGCAAACACAAATCATACTTTATATGATGAAAGCATTTTTGTATACATCCTTGACTTATGCATTTTCACTCTTGACTTTTGAATAGAGTTCACATTTCTCTTCTGATTCATACGTAAAATGATTATGTGTCTATATGAGTGAATAAGTATGACCAGTAAATCGTCAGTAACAAATTTTGAAGACATTTCGTAGTTAAGAAACTTTACTATGTTAATGAGGATGGAAAAGGAAAGAGATAAGTTATGATCTTCAGATTTTATTTATTCTGCATGTGAATTTTTCGCAAAGTTTCGTCGATAAGTTTTTTTTTGTGAAATTCATGTCTTTATTGGCGCAACAAAATACATTTGAATTGTTATGTAAATATTTATCTTTGTTCTGTACAAAGGCATTCATGATATTGAATAAGTACACACATAATCATTAAAGTCCATGACATATTTTTGTTTCATATCGATGATGATGGTCAAAATATTCGTTGCTATCAGTGAGCGAGAGTGCATGGTTAAATCTTAAGTGATGTGTAGTAGTAATAAAAAGAAATATGAATTTTGTACCAATTTGTTTTTATATGAAATTACATGAAATGTATAAATCCGTTAGAGTAGCATCAAGAAAAATGATTTATTCTTGGAGATCGGAGCTTCAGTTTTGCGTTAACAGTGTAGTATTCTTGTGGTTTCATTACGTATCGTATGTGATGGTGTGTTATAAATGAGGCATCCTCGCTGGTTTACATTGAACTCAAGAAGCGAACCAAATAAACGTGGATCTCTGACACTGATGCTCACCGTCATATCATCATCATTACTGCCGTCATTGTAGTGTTAATACAAGTAAGAGTTTTTCTGTATGGATTACAAAATTTAGAGCTGAACTGAAACTCACTCATGCTCTCGTGTTATGTGTTTCTTGTACACGTTGCCTCTGTATTGAGAAGTTAGAGGGTATGGCAAGAGTGGCAATGATGATCGTCAGTGGTAAGATCCGTAGGAAAGGTGTAGAGAAAGATGAGGTACATAGAAAGTATAGAGATATAAACTGAAGAAGGTGTTTAATTTGACACAACTACAGAAGAAATGAAGTAGTAGCAATGATATAGCAATGGATACGCAGGTATAATGTTTGAACTGAGAGAAGCATAAATATTCACATGAACAAAGTGGAAAGCCAGAAAAAATATGTAGGTATAGTTGGAGGAAAGATTGGAAAAATAAACAAAAAAAAGAGGAAGAAAAATGATGGTGTGTGTAGTTGTGAATGTGTGTAAAAAACTAACTGGGGCGAAGCCGAGCACTTTGCGCAAGTATATTTGAGCGTACAAGAGAAATTGACAAGTAAATTTTATTTGAGAATCTTGAGCAATACATAACCTAGCAATATCACCATCAATCCGCCAAGACAGTGACGAAGATCGATCGCTTTTGATTTTTTCCCCCTTAATAGAATTTTGACCAAACTAGTGTTTATATTGTGATTATGTTACATCTCAATCCAAATTGGAAGTTACTGCAATCACGTATAAATTATTATAGTCAGAAAGAGCACTGGCAATATCTCATTCTGTTGATGTGTAAGAGAATTATTGCTATGCTTATTTGGATCT